TCGATTTAATCTCTCTCTCTCTTTGCACTAGTGCGCGCGCGAGGCTCTCGTTTCCGCTCCAAGATTGCCTCAAGAGCCTCGTTGGCTCATGATTTATGCGACATGCATCTCTCTCTTTTTCCCTCGCCCTGTCGGCAAAAGATGCATTACGTCGAGAGAGAGAGAAGCTCGGTATTATGCGAGGTGCAAGTTTTTTTTCCAGCCACCCCGTTCTCGAGTGCCCTCCGCGCAAAAATACAGTTTCATCGACTCAAACTAGTTTGTTTGAAATGTCATGGCAGTATATAGTCGATTGGTTTACGTAGGGGCCTGGGGGCGATTCGAAATGTAACGCAGCATTTCATCGACATCTAGCAGATAAAAAACCAATTAGTCGTAAAAAGCCACCTACGCGTATGATATACGGTGTGCCGCGCGCACATAAAGATCATAGACAGAGCTGCGGATGGAATTGGGGATTGGCCGATAGGAAAGCTCGCACGGAGTTGCCTATCGCCGGTAGGGTAGGGATTGGCGGGGCGCGCGCGCGAGCTTTATGGCGCTTTAAAGCGCGCCAGAATTTGTATATCGGTAAACTCGCGACCAATATCGAGAGAGAGAGAGAGAGAGAGATTAACCGTCGGATCATGGGAAAAATATTTTCAAGTATAGTCCGCGCGCGCCCTATAGAGAGAAGCACCTCTAGCAAAATCTAATTATTTGGAAACGTTTCGCCGCGACCTTGCCTCGGTATTATTTCACTTTTATTTTTATTGATGCAACACTTGACTTTTGACTTGGATGGCAGCTATCGATAGGCAAATAACGAGTCAGTCCAATCATGGGTAAAGCGAAATGGGACGACGAAGAAGAATTCGAGTATGCTGACGCGGTGCCGCGGAAGTATCTGGACCGCTACGATTGTTTCTGCACCCGGACACGACGCGTGCAGTCGATTAATTGCTTGGTGCGTCCGAAAAATGATGCAGCACACGTGCGTGCGCCTCTCTCTCGTATCATCTCGATATATATTATAGCCATATATACATCGAAACGTGGACCGCGAGTGCATGAGTTGCAGCCGAGCTTTTTGCGAGCTTGCAGCGCGTTATTGGCCTTAACGACACGCGCGCGCCTTCGAGTATCATTTCTGCGTTTGGCCGCGCTACTGCCCGCCGAGACGTCGTCGTCGTCGTCGTCGTCGTCGTCGTGGCGAAAAACGCACAAACACATGCACACAGCATGCGTGTCGAGCTTTACACCCAGACGTACGAGCCAATATGCAAGTCTCTCTCTCTCTCCTCGCTCTCTGGCGCGTACGCGCGGTGCGTATTATTATATAGGTGCATATAGGCGCGCTCGCAGCTCTCGAGCGCGTTGGCAACGAAACACGAGGAGAAAAGATCAGCGCCGAAGCTTTTATTTATAGCCGAGACGAGGAGATTCGGCTCACGTAGGTGTGCATGCATGTGCTACGCGAGCGCAGATGTGTACGTGTGTATGCTTGTGTAGCCTGACTCCACTGCAGCAGCAGTAGCAGCGTAAAGTTCGTTGTTGCGTTGACCAAGCGAGTTTTCTTGCGTTGGAAGCGCGTGCGAGAGGCATCGCGGCCAAAAGATCATCGCGCGCGTCCGCGGCGGCCTCTTCTCCATGGCTTTTCACTTTTCCTCCTTTTAAATTTTGCGTGTCCGAGTCCGCTACTTTCACCAAGTGTCTGTGTGTGCGTGTTGCCCGATGGTCAAGAGCTTCGATCGAAAGGTTATTTTCCTGCCTCGAGCAAAAGTTATCGAGCTTTTGTGTGTGTGCTATTGTGCGTGCGTGCGAGTGTGTGTCGTTTCGTCGAGTGCGCCAGCAGCATCACAAGCAGCGCTACAAAGGCATCGATCGACTCTGGCCCTCGATCAGGCGACGACGACGACGATGAGTGCAGTGAAGTGCCTGCCTGACGATCATGTGTCAAAGTTTCTCCATTGAAAAAGCTCAGAGAGCGGATCTGCCGCCGCCTCCGCGACAGCCGTGGCAACTGCGCGAGCTTTTTGGAAAGCGAGTCCGGCCCGAGCTTCGTGCGACCATAAATGAGGCCTAAGCTCGTCTCGACTGCGACAATAAGCCACCGCCGATTCCGTCGTTGGCCCGTCGTCGTGCAAGCTCGCCACCGCCGCCGCCCGAGCTGACGCATAGCTTGTGTATTATTTGCATATAGCGTATTATGGCGGCCTTCCGACGTCCCGCACGCAAAGAGAATCGTTACAAAACTTTCGGCAAGAGGAAGGTGAGCGATATCGAGCGTCTGCGCTCGCAATTATGCTTTCGTTGCAGTTTACGGAACGAATACGAATCGACGAACTACACATTAGCTACCACGATTCGCTATATTATAATGTAGTGTCGAGGTGCGACTATCGCGTACCGAAGCGATCTTTTTTTTTCTAAATCTTTTTTTTTACAGCGCTCGGCTATGCGAGGAATTCGATGCGTCGAATATACACGTTACTCCCACCTATATAAGCGCGTAGCGAGCAGCAGTCGAGCTTTGAATTTCCCTCTGCGTAAACTCGCGAATTCGGTACATAATAGAAAAGCTCGCTAGCTCGGGTCAAGTCTATACACAATACAGCGTGAGGGGTGGCACACTCGTGTACGTATAAGCGCGCGCGCGAGCTCGGTTTCCGCCTGCTCGAGAGAATTTCGAGTCGAAATTTTACATTTGCCAAATTACCACGCGCGCGCGCGCGCGTAGTTTAGCATAGGTAAATTGTCGTATAGGCGAGCGAAGAAGCAGCAGCAGCGGCGGCCGCCGATCGAAATCGAGCAAGCAGTCCAACGAAATATTTGTTATTGGTCCAAGTTTTGTCTCGGCGGCGTGCATGTGCGCGGATGCTTCTTCGCTCGCTCGAGCTTTATATATGCGTATACCGCATACGTATAGCACCGAAGAAAGAGATTTAATAATTGTCGTCGTCGTCGTCGCGTCGTACGCCCCGTCGAAATGATTAACGGCGTCCGATCGGCTGCGCGAGCAGCTAATTATGTTCTGTTTTTTTTTGCGCTTCTCCGTACGTAAAGCTCTCGTACGTATACGCGCGATTGTCCTTTATTCATCGAGTCGTATGACACTCTATTCTGGAAATTTTTTTAGTTTGTTTGGAAGTTAGGCTCCACGTGACTCGGTGAATGAGAGAATCTCCGAATATACGTATGTACAAACACACTCGAGAGCTTGCGTACCGTGTCGAACACTCGTCGAGCTTCGCAACATAGACTCGCCGATCAGTCACATGGAGTAGTAACGTAATAAGCTGCTGTATAGCAAAATACACGCGCTAGCTCGCTTCGTCCGCAGTGAGTATGCAGTATCTACTCGATCAACGCTTCAATTCGTACAATTTACATCAATAAAAAAAAATGAATACTTGGAACCGACTGAGCTATATACGAGGGGTGCAAAGTCGAATGACTGATCCATGGCATGCCTCGAAGAATCAGCACACGTGCTCTCTCTCTCTCTCTCTGCCTCACCCTCGCAAGCTTTCCTTCCCACTCGAGTCCCTTTAATCTCAAATGAGCGTTTCGACAAAAAAATGTCTCTGTCCGCGTGTATCACGTACATGTATTTATCTACTGGCCTGCGGATATCAGCAGCAGCAGCAGGAGAGTTTACGTGCTCGAGCGAGCGATCGATAAATATGTACCGCAGCGGTAACAGAAGCAGCTTGTGTACATAGTATAGGTAGCTCGCGATAGGCCTCTCTCTCTCTCTCTCTCTCTCTCTCTCTCGTATATAGTAGCACAGCATTCGTCGATCGTCGGCAGTTGCTACTACTGCTACTGCTGCTGCTGGCTGCGGTGTTAGGTAGCGGTGGTGTTGGTGGTGGTGTACGTCGAGCTCGCGAGCACCGACGACGAAAGCTCCCCCTGTAGAAACTAGCGAGCGAAGGTGTGCTCGTGCTGCTCTTCTGCGCTGCCGTTGCTGCAGACGCGCGGAGGGGTTCAGGGCACAGCTGCTGCCGAGTCATGATCCAGTCCGAGTTTTGCACTCGTCTCTCTCTTTCTCCTGCGAAAAAAAACAGAGCTTGTGACACGCACACACATACACAAACCGTCACAGAAAAATGTCGAGCTGCAACATTTAAAAATATCCGATTAGCTAGTATAACAAGCCTACGTATCTGCTGAAGAGGTGAAAGAGAGAGAGAGAGAGAGTCCGGATGGTTTGTTTTGCTGCAAGCTCGTACAGCTCGAGTGTACACCGAAAAACGGACGGAGGAGGAAGAGGGAGCTTGCGCGTATCTGTATATATAGAGAGAGAGAGGAGCTTGCGCGCGCTTGCGTAGAGCCGAGAGAGGGTCGTTTACCCTAAACTGCCATTCATGCTGTGAGCTAGGACTGTTCCAGTATCATCACACCCACTGCTGCTGCATCGTGCTCGGCTCTCTCTCTATATTTTTAGGGGGTAAGCTCCCTTATAATTCGCCGAGACGATATTAATTTGTCTCGCCGCCACCGCCGCCCTGGAAGAGCCGAGCTCGAAAAGCCGACGACGACTCGCATTGTATCGTATAGCTAATACGCAGACACACACGGGGGAGCGTGCCGCGTAACGCACACGCGCGCCAAGGAAGGGAAATTAACGAACACGAGCAGCAGCAGCAGACGGAGCTCTCTATATAACGGAGTATAGCGTACTTCTGACCTACATATTCTTCTCTCGCTCGCGGCGCCTCGTATTCCTCGGCGCGGAAGCTCGATAGCTTGTGTGTGCCGTGCCAATGTGACTGCTGTATATGTAAGGCGACTCGAGCTAACTCTCTGTGTGTGTGTATATGCTGTAAGAGAGGGAGAGAGCCATGGCTTATCTAGCTGCTACCGTTACGCCGCCACCACCACCACCACCACCACCAGCGATGCCACTGCCGCTACGTAGTCCCTCGGCCTTTCCTGCATTTTCGTCGTCGTCGTCGTCGTTGTCGTCGTCGGCGACGTTGTTGTTCCGAGCCGGGTGAATGTGTCAAGTGCAGCTGCGGCCGCTGCGGCGCCAGTGCCATACTCGCCACCGCAGCAGCAGTACCAAGACCTCGTGTGTCGTGTCGTCGTTGTCGCATAAAACAACAACACCAGTCTAGGCGTATAAACATCGAATGGCTTTCAAGCGCAGGAAGAAAAGGCATCATCGAGCGTCGTCGTAGCAGCAATGGCCGATCGATCATCCTCGTCCAGCAGCTATTTTTTTGCGATCCCATTCGAGTCGTAATAAAATATACTCATCCGCCCGCCCTTATCGTGCACAGCTCATTGTGCCCGTGCTGAATCGATCTTCCAGAGTGTGCAAAGTAGGGACGATGAACCAGCCCTCGAGGAACGACAATTACTCGTCATCGTCGCGCACATCAAGGACTAGAAAGTCAAAACGTCGTCGACGTGGTTCTGGTAGTAGTAGTGTTGGTAGTCGTTGTTGTTGTTGTTATTGTTGCTGTTACTTTTCGTCGGTGGTGCAACGATTATCCCAGTGCAACAACGAGTACTTGGCGCTTTCCTCTCGTTCGTCGTTCTTCGATACGATAAAATAATGAACTAGCCTTGCGCCAAAATCTAGCTGCTGTACAAGTACGTCGTGTGCACGACGACGACATCGGCGACGGCAATAATTCAGTTTTTCGTCGAGTGCGTGGGTGCGTGTGTGTATGTGCGTGTGCGCGCGATCAAAAACTATTTACAGCGCACGAGTGCAAAAGTTATTGCGTTGTGTGCCGAAAATTGCCGGGCCTTGGCTCGAGGAGAAGAAGAAAAATAAGAAATCCCTCGCGTACGTCTAAATATTTATGGATGAGACTCGTCGTCGACTGCACTCCGTCTACGACTAAAAGCTCCGAAGACGACGACGACGACGAGACTACTCTGGGTAGTCTCGCGCCGCATCCGCAGCGATATTGCGACACACAACTTGAGTTTCGGCGACAAGTAGCGAGTGCGCCGCCCTCCCGAAGGCGATGATCGGTTACAATCAACAGAATTCCGGCTACAACAAGCTATTCACTCAGGTATATATAGGCAGGCAGGCACAGGGAGGGTTCGATATATAAGCTATTATACATATAGCTCTTGAGACGCGACTCTTTGTGTATACGATATACAACATATAACGTTACAATATGTATAGGCAAATTATAACGCACATATATAGACACACGCGGTGGCGGCGTGTCGTCGACCATCCCCCGCGCGTTGTGTATAGCGTACACATAGCATTAATATTGAGCATCGTCGTGTACGAGCCGTCGTGTACATTATTATATTCGAACGAGGACGGCTTATCGGCACGAAAGCAATGTACATACCTGCGAGCCGTTTTATAGAAAAGACCGTGAGAAAATGTTCATCTAATTCTAGAAATTTCTCGTGTGCGGTAACTGTATATTGTAGTCTGTGTCTGTAGGCCGCCGATCGATTGTCTATACTCGTGATACACGAGCAGCTATATAAGAGCTTTTGCGCGGCTCGCTCTCGCATCTCTCTGTCTCCGCTGCAAGCTTGCGATCTGCATTATTTATCGTCGCGCGCGAGTATTTATGCAGTCCACGCGCGGATCTGCTATATAGCTGCAACATAGTCAGCAGCGGCTGGCCTCTTTGTGCTTTGTCGCGTTTGTTTGCCTTTTCTAAGCGCGTTATTAGTCCCCCCCCCAGATCGAGCTAATCATGCGTAGCTCGCAGCGAGCGATCCGCAAGAGTCGCACGAGCTGCGAGCGCGCGGCATACCCTCGACCTTGTCTCTCTCGACAAAAGCAGCCCTCTCGCTCTTTCAGACGGCTCACTGCCAGAGCACTTTTTTTTCTATCTATCCTTCTTGTTTTATTTTTTATTCATTCCCCCCTGCAGTTTTGCTTTTTTTAATTACACATCTCGATAAAAATAAAAACGACCCCGTGCGTATTTATTTTTTCTCTTTAATATTAAGCGACGTGGTTGCGTATTACGCACACGACATGACATTGGGTACGGTCGAAAGATAACGGATCTGTGTGTGTACTGTTTCAGGGCTCGGCAGACTCGAACTACTCGCAGCCCAGCTCGGATCTCTCGCTGGACGAGGAGAAGGAGGGCTTGCGACGCGAGAAGGAAAAACAAGCCCTCGCCCAGCTGCAAAAAGCTCGGGTGAGTTGCCAAACTATGTGTGTTGTACGTATAGATATAAAATTACAGCGACGAGAGGCTTAGCAGCAAATACGAGCCATTATCGTATATCAGCTAATTAGCCGCACGCATCTTCTCCTCCTTTATACTCTTCCACCTACACACCCGACGCGGGTTTTTTTTCTCTCTCTCTCTCTCTCTCCTACCTAAAACAGGATATTTGATGCTCTCTCTTTCAGAACAAGCCGGTGGCCTTTTCCGTTCGAACCAACGTCAGCTACGATGGCTCGATCGACGACGACTCACCGGTCCACGGCTCGGCCATCAGTTTCGACGTTCGCGACTTCCTTCACATCAAAGTGATTACTCTTTTTTACACCTCTAATAAATTTATAAAAAAAAGAAGGAAAAATAAAACTTGTCTCTCTCTCTTTTTGTCTATACAGGAAAAGTACGACAATAACTGGTGGATCGGCAGGCTCGTCAAGGAGGAAGCCGACGTCGGGTTCATACCGTCGCCGGCCAAGCTGGAATCACTGCGGGCTCAGGCCAGCTCAGCAAGGGGTACCAAGGGTCTATATTCGAGTGCACGTGGAGGGTCTTCGGGGAACCTTGGTGAGAGCGGTATGCCCTCACGAGGTTCCACACCGCCCACACCAGGTGACTCCGCCACCTGAGAAATTTCTCCCCCCCTTGTTCTCAAAGTCCGCCCGGTTTGAAAAGCCAAACTAAATAATAATAACTAGTCTCTACGCGATTGTTTTATAAACAAAGAGTGAAGTGTCCATTCGTGTGTGGTTTTTTCTCGATGACACTCTCTACTCGCCTGACGCATTTACAATACTTGCTATACATATATTAATGGGCTGAGCAGAAAGCTATATGAGCAAAGTCCCTGTATACTACTACTAACTTTTGACGTGTGCTGACGCGTGAAACGCAATTCAATAATGTACTGATATACCAATATTACTTTGACGCTGACTATGTGCTCTTTCTCGCGCTCAAAAGTTTTTTCTCGTACTTGGTCTGCGTTCGTTTTGCAAAATCTATCGATATATTATTGATTATGATGGCTCACGAAAATTTTTGTATTATCTTTTACGTAATACATTTTATATAGCAATTTATATATTTACAATATGTATTATACTACTACTATATATTTGTTTTTAAATGTGTAATAATTTGTTAATGTATAACACTTCTTGGACACTCGCAATGTTTTTTTGCAAACGGCAAAAATGAAAAAAAAAAAGTATAAAAACCGACGTAAAGCAACCTTGTACCCTCGAAGACCCTCGAGGTAGTATTTTTGTTATTTTTGCAAAGATCATCTCATTTACTTTTATACTGCAAAATGATCGTCGATCGGTAGCGATCGCAGATTTTCACATTTATACTTATTATTATTATTATTATTATTGTACGTTCTCGAGTTCAGAGCTAGAGAAAAATTTTTGCTCTGCATTTTCATCAAATTCTTTTGTATATGCAACTGCATCCTTAGCATTATGCTCTTAAATATTATATATCGACAGCATTCATTAACTCAGCCATCGTAATGTTTACAAATATACCGCATATATTATATTGACCACGATTATCGGATATAATAATAGAGTACAAGGTTTTTTGCTTTATATCAACTTGACTTGTATTTTTCTTTTCTGTTAGCAACGAGTTTTTTTTCTTCTTTTATTTCGTTTCCATGCATCACGCTGATTTATTTGAACGAATTTCAGTGAAGCGTAATACGAATGAAAAAAAAAACAAAAGATTCATGGAAATTCGAAGATCGATGTTCGCTTTTCTAAAAATTCCCAATCATTGATTTTTTTGCAATCTTATCCGTATTATTTATCAATTTCTGTGTTTTTTTTCTATGTCGTCTTGCATACGAGATTCAAGAGATTGTATTATACATATAATATTTATCAATAGCATTTTCATGAGAGTACGAATTGAACTTTGAAAAAAAATAGTAATAACGAAAACCACGATGATTATGACAATTTGTAAACGTTACGCATTTTTATCATCACTTTCAAAATTAATTAGTCGAAACATGCGCAAAAAGTCATGAAAATGTCACTATCCATTTTTCATTTAATCGCGTTTAATTGTAACACATCTGTCAACGCAGCGCAGAGTTGGGAGCGATCAGTTCATTAACGAACTTTCCGAGCACGCCAACTGTTTTCAACTGTGTCGCCGAGATTACTTCCAACTCTGTGTAAAAAAGTAGCTTAACACTCTCGTAGCTGGGTAGCTTTTGTTTTTAGTTCTAGCGCACAGCACAACAATTGATAAACTAGTTTTCTGCAACGCTTCCGTGCCATAGCTTTGTAATGCATCATCTAGAGAGAACCTTTAAGAAGTGTCGGCCTGTACTCGATAATTTCAAAAAAAAAGTAAAAAATTAAAGAAGTTTGCGAGTGCGATGAATCAAACGCTAGAAATGAAAAATTTCAGCCTCGCACTCGCGCGCACGGCCTTGACTTCTTGAATGATTGAATTGCCGCTTATCGTTTGCCTATACGAAGTTATTCAATGATTTTTTGGGTTTCGCTGACGCAAGCGCGCTGAGAAAAAAATTTTAACTCATTTCTGTTATTTTTTTTCTATCTCTCTCTCTCTCGCTCGTTCTCTCTCCTCGTCTCGCTCACCTGTCTTCCTGCGAAACGCGCCGATGGTAAAGGCGACGACAGCGATAGCATGGGCAACATCCGTCCCGGCCGAACGAACATGACGAATCCACCGGCCAAGGAGAAGAGAAAAAACTTCTTCAAAAAACCGGTAAATGTTTGCAAAAAACCCCGTCCCGCATGCAAAATTCCCCTGCTCGGAAAAGCCAACGAGAGCCAACCTTGGTTTGCTGATTGGTTTTCTCAGGAAACGGCGTCGCCCTACGACGTGGTGCCCAGCATGAGACCCGTCGTTCTGGTGGGACCATCCCTCAAGGGTTACGAGGTGACCGACATGATGCAGAAGGCGCTCTTCGACTATCTCAAGCACAAGTTCGAGGGCCGGTAAGTAGACGTTGATTTCGTTAATAACAGTAGTTATGTAGCAAGCGGTGAATCATCGTTGGTGTTTTTTTGTTGCAGAATCATCATCACGAGGGTAATGGCGGACATCTCTCTGGCCAAGAAGTCGCTGCTGAACAACCCGAAGCGGGCCGTGATGGAGCGCTCGACGAGTCGCAGCAGCTGCCTGCAGGAGGTCCAGGCCGAGATCGAGAGGATATTCGAGCTGGCGCGCACGCTGCAGCTCGTCGTGCTCGACTGCGACACCATCAATCATCCGTCGCAGCTGGCCAAGACGAGCCTGGCACCGATCATCGTCTACCTCAAGATATCCTCGCAGAAGGTGCTGCAGCGGCTGATCAAGTCGCGCGGCAAGTCGCAGGCGCGACACCTCAACGTGCAGATGGTCGCCGCCGAGAAGCTGTCCCAGTGCCCCGGCGAGATGTTCGACGTGATCCTGGACGAGAACCAGCTGGAGGACGCCTGCGACCACGTGCACGAGTACCTCGAGCACTACTGGAACGCGACGCATCCGTCGCTGCTCATGAACATGTCCAAGTCGATTCCCGACGCGACCGACGACGGCTCGGTGCCCCGAGCTGGCTCAGGTACTGCCCATCTTCTCTTCTATAGCACTGGCTACTACTACTACTACTACTACTTTTTTTTTAGCTCTGGCTCTCTATCTATATACTCGGCTCTATACCTTCTCTCTTGCATCTCTCTATCTATCTATTATTGCACGTTTTCGTCTATACACTGCACCAATTGCCAAACTTCATTTACCCTACGCGTGTACGTACGTGGAATAGTTCGATCGAGCAACGTTTCATTCAGAAAATTTGTCAATGATAAATATTGCAAAATATTTTCGCGTACTTTGAATGGACGCAAATTAACTTTCCATCGAGTAAAGCCACCAGAAATAAACTCTCGATGTTTGTTCTCAATTACAGTTTCGACTTCTGGAAAATTTCTTTCGATAGAAAATCTATTGAAAAATATTTTTTGCAATTTCAAATAACTCTCGTATTTGCGAAGAAGCCTTTCGGGAATCAAACATTTTTTGAAACGCGAATCGTTCAGACTTTTTTCTGAAATATAACGTATTTACCCCGTAAATTCCACGTACATGCATAAGGTAAATATTTATGTTATATAAAGGGTTTCGCGCAATTATGTATACACTGAACTGTTGATCCCAACGATTCATGTGTAAAATTAAATAATTTTTTTCCTTCTGACTTCACTTTTTTTTTTCACTGACCTACTTTTATCGCATAGCTTTTCAATCATTTGCTATATTTTTGGCTCTAACTGTCCATTATTTAAAAATATAATGTCGCACATGTTTCATTCGTCATGCCGAAAAAAGAACCGAAGAAAATCCATTTTAATTAGATGATAAACAGATTGTTTCTGCACGTAGATGTTGCATGTTAACTATACGTTATCTCTCAGACTATATATATTTTTAATTTAATTGACGTTTTGCCAACGCGACGTACGCATATATCGTCTCACTTTTGCTTCAGCTTTTCTTTCACGCAGGTCATCTTTATAATTTTAAATAATGTAAAAGAGTCATTGTTCATGCCTCGATCATTCAACCATCACTTCACTGCGCATACCGTTTGTCTTCCTATCAATATTTCTTTCATAGAGTCTGCAAATGTTCCCATCTCACATTGGTTCATTTTATATTTCTCATTATTCAAATGAAAAAATATCGAGTTGAATTGTCGAAAAAAAAACATGTCTCATGACATCTAAAACTGTTGTGTGAAGTAACGTGAATGCTCGAGGTGACTATGAAAAAAAAGAAAAAGTAAAAAACATTTAAAATAGAGAAAACAGTCATGTTAGCATTTTCATATTGTGATTTTCTTTCAGCGACGATTTACGGATCAGCGCATTTGTATTCACCACAGTGAAAAAAGCGAGGCTCGCTTGTGTATCTTCCGCTTGAGACCTGTTAGTTTCCAAATATAATCACATCAAATTCATTATACATTTTTCTTCACTTTTTGTTACTAACGCTTGTTCTCTCTCTATCTCTGTCTCTATTTATGTAATCATTCTCACAGCTTTCACTTTTTTTTCATGTTAATTGTTTAATTTTTTTTTTTTTTTTTTCATTATAAATTATGTAATAAGTAATTCATTTTTTTCATATATAATAGAGCAATAGAAGCCGTGATAGGCCAGATAAAAAAGTTAGGAAGATTTGCCAGAAAAATAGATACAATCGAAATCTGCAGCACGTGTAATATGCTTTATCAGTCTCACGTCAGGCTTTCAATTCATGATCAACGTTTTTCCGTCGATAATTCGAAATTCTAACAGCAACATAAAATCCCAGATTAGAGCATAGAAGTGCTAGAACAAAAACAAAAACATTTTAGTTTTACTCAAATATACTAAAGTTGATATGTATGTATTGTATATTTTCTTTTTTCCGTTATTGATAAAAAAGCGTCGGGACCATTGGCTGCTACGGGGATCATCCGAAAAGTAGGCAGGGTCAACATGAGTCCTGAACCCACCGATTGAAGATAATGAAAAAGCCAAGCACATAGTAATTATCGATTAATAGATTCTTCGTCCCTTGCCACAAGTCTACGTCGTTATTCAAAAGTAAAATAAGAAAATAAACCAAAAATATTTATTGCACATTGAGAATAGTTATTATAGAAAAGGGAATAGATTACCTTTTTTCATAGACACAATTGCCTGATGAGTTTAGTTTGAAAGAGACTGAAAGACATATTACATAATTTGTAATAACTATAAGCCTCGTACGCGGTTGTAAGTACGGATTATGATACTCAAGGGTTTTTTGTACATGCATGAAAAATAAAGTTTTACCCTGGATTTTTTGTCAACGTCCCATTAATTGTAGTAATTAAAAATCTAGAAATTCCAAAAAAAGCGCGTCGAGATAATTGTTTGATGTGGTTTCAATGTCATCCCTTGAATTAAGGAGAAAAAAAAGATTTCGAGCTATGTAATAAAATTTAGTGAATTTTTTTACTTTCATTTTTTATCAATTATGTTTTACCACCGTGTGTCATTCCTTTTTTTTCAATATTTTCACTTTAATGTTCAATCGCTGTTATTATTATGCATGTTGAATGTTGACAATGATGCCTATTATAATAAACATCCTAGAAAATATTTTAAAGACTGCATTAGTCGAAATAAATTTACAATTTTTTTCGTAGAGTTTCTTTGGTTTTTATATTATCAATTAATTATGCGCATGCCATGTTGAAGGTTTATTTTCTGTTGACTATCTACGAAAAGCTTCTTAAAACAGCTAATACGTTTTTTTTTTACTAATTAGAATTTTTTGAATGAAAATATGAATATAGTAATCTATGAGTCTGACAAATGTTTTAACGATCACAGCGAAAGAAAAACTATACTTGAAAAACAAAACAAAAAAAAAATAAAATAAACAGCGACTCTATCGTCGTTAAATCGCTCGACTGTATTAATTACAAATGATTTTTCCATTCGTCGGACTGTAGGTGGTGGCAGCGTGTACCGTCGCTCGCGACTCGAACGCTCGGACCGCAGCGACATGTACGGCGCCGGCGACGAGGAGGACTCCTTCCACACGGACGTGACGGGCCCAACGGGCATCGACTTGAGCGCTCGAGGAGGAGATGCTCGGCTGCCTCGAGTCCAACGACCTCAACCGCTGCAACAGCAGCAGCAGCAACAACCACCGAAGCAACAACAGCAGCAACAACAACAACAACAACAGGATCCGCGCAACATGAACGTCATTTAGGAGATGGGGCCCCGGGGCCTGTCGCTTCTGCGTTGCCCCCATCTGCGCACCACGGCACTCTGATAATAACAAAAAAGGATAGAAAACCAGCTAATTATTCCAGAGGCTGCTGTTCGAATAATGAAACATTTCAATTCACCTGCGAATATCATCTCACATCGATGCATCGTTCACCAGAGTCACATAATATGCAATATTATAAATATGAAATTTATATAAAAGAATATATCTTTCTATCGCGATCTCTCTTTCTCTCTCTCTCTCTCTCTCTTTCCTTTTTTCGAAATAAATCTGATGTATCGATCTACGTTTTTTCGCAAAGAATGAGTAATAATTATTATCACCGAATAATTTTTTAACTACGTGCGAAACGTCGTAATCCGCAAGTACACAAAATAATTCTCGCTCACTGAGTAAAGTCTTAAAGAACTTAAGAGTGGTCCGAGTACCACATGAGTGCCAATAAGTTTTACAAAAACGTCAAACACACACTTATACACACATACACACAGAGAATCCATAAGCACTTGATAACGAACGAACAATACAAAATGTAACGAGCACCACGTGTGAATTTATATTTCTATATACGCGACTGCAATGGTAATATAATGCGTATGCGTTGTAACCAAACGTTGATTTTTCATTCGTCGAGATAATGCCAAAAATGTAACAAAAGAGAGATTTTTTATGAATAAAACTTACAATCAACCAACTCATTTGTACGATCGTTCAACACTTTGCACAAGAATAATTATGCTCCGTTGTTTTGTACACAATTATTATAAATAATGTATAACCAATGTATAAAAGTCATTTAGTCAGTTATTAATTGTGCACGCGCAACAAGAGTGAAAAAAAAATTCGACGACTCCATCTTTCATTGTATCAAATATAAAATGCCATGCGTACAAACGAGTGCGATATTCATTGATTAATCGAACGTTGAAACGTGCCCTGGGGCCTTTATTTTTAAACCGTGTCCTAAAATGTACGTGAAATGAGCTGAAAATAATTACCAAGCCCCACGATTTGAACAAATATACATAAAAAAATTGTGAATGTATATACGAAGCGCGAAACAAAAAATCAAGTCCACCTAAAATGTAGACCAATTGTGTGTTATTGGAAATTGCTATCGACTCGCGTGCGAAACAGCAATCGAGTGTGGCGTGCAAAAGTGTAACACAAAAAATTATAATGATCTGCTGGCGTGCTAGCGAAATTTCCTCTCTGTTTTGAACAGTGAAATCGTAACTATAATATACATGCTTGAATAAATGATCTTGTGCATACTTCGAGTGTTGATATACAATATGTATCAATGCCTTTTGTGAGTGTCTAAATAAAAGGGGTTGACAAAAACTCAAAGTCTCGACTAACTAAAATGCTGTGCGGAAGCAATGAAAAACCAAAAAAACGTAATCCTTACTACGAACGACGTAAGTATATACATAATATAAATATATAGTTGCACTCGTTTCTCGAATTTTTTTTATACGTGCGCCAAAGTGCGGATTAAGTCTCGATGAATTTGTAATAAGAAAAACAAAAATCGTATAAATTAATTATTATAACAAGACGTAGTGATATAATTCTAATACTTATAAATAGTCTACCGAATAGATAGTGATAAATAAAAAACAAAACAACCAAAATACAATCTGATATCGCGTGGTAGTCTCTGTGGCCCGTATAGACCAAAGAAGCTACAGCGGAAAATCAACTATTCATCTGATATACAATATTATGAGCTGTCCAAAACCACAATACATAGCCGCGCAGGACATTCGATATTATTCATTAGATTAATTTTTTGGGGTTCTCCTTTTTTTCTATACGTGCTGAATGGCAACAATTCATCACTTAAAAACATTATACGATAATATTATAAATATACATTATAACGAGCCAAAACACTACAATGTACGAGTCTGCTGTATTTATAAAAATTTTGAATATAAATAAAAATACGATATAAATGTGTGTAAAAGAAGGCAAAATGCATGTCTCACTTCCACTTTCGTGTATATAGTAAAACAACGTAAATGATTCAATAAGAAAATACAACATTAATAAATAATAATTAATTATAATAATAAAATTAATAATGCTAATATACGTGCATGAGCGAATAATTCCGAGGTAAAAATTAACTAAAAAGCAGAAAGAGAGGGATTCGGTTATGAATAATTAAATATACCATATACATAGCAATGAAGAAAGATAGGTAATGCAATTAAACTGTGAATGTGTGAGCGAAAGAGAACGAAAAGTTAGCAACAAAAGATTGAAATGTTGGCTGTTCTTTTTTTAACGATAATTACACAATTATTGTTATAATATCGATTCGTCACTGATTTATTGTAATTTTCATCATGGGTAACAATAATTATAAAGTTTGTAAATACTGTAAGAATATCTCGAGAGTATATAATCGGAGAAACATAAAACTTCTTCGGTTTGCTGCGTGCGAATATAACATTATTATTATTCTTATTATTATTATCATTATTACTACAACTACTTTAATTATTATTATACTGAAAAAATATTTGGTCCAATGAATTATATAATTATAAAAATCTTTATAAATTGAATTATATATATCATTTATGGGGCAAATTTTTTTCAGATAGTTATTATTATTTTTGTCATTATTTTTAATGTTATATAATGACCTTATAATGCATTATCGTGTCCGTTTGAATTGAGTGAAAAAATTTGTTATTGCTGGAGTAAAAGTGCCATTTTTGCCCGACGAATTTTCAAGTTTGCCTTGTTTGTTTGATCCTTTGTAATCACCGATTTTTTAATAAATTGTATACCTCGTTGTTACCGATCAGTGCACTTATTAGTGATTACATTAAATATTGCTTGTATCGTATAAAAAAAAAATTATATAAAATATCGCTTGATCGCAAAAAGCAGCCTGTGTCGTTGAGAATTATTCGATAATTTTCTATTAAGATATAATATGTGTGCGACATTTGCGAAAGAAAGTCCTTGATCTGTAAGTCCTCGACCTTGCTGCTGGCCCGAACCCCATTGAACACTTTGACTTCGACTTCCTTCATGTACATGAAATACGAGTAAGTATGTATGAATACGTGTGTGTGCAAATTTATTGCGAACGATGTGTCCAATTCATTGTCAAGACTAATCGCTCAAAACTTAATCCTCGTCATTTTTTCTAAATTTTCTTCTCCCATTACCTGTTTATTACATTGAAATACGTTGAAGCGCGTGATTATTGTATAATGCGCGGGTGGCATATCTTTTTTTAGGCAAACTTCTTTTTCTTTGCTTTCATATTCAAGAGGTATGAGTATATTATGACGTAGATAGAAGTAAAAATAAATTTTCACGTTAATCTCGTGATTATAATTATTAGTTATACATAAAGTATAAACGACAAAAAAAAAGTGAAAATGTATAGATGTAAAAAGACGAAGATGTTGAATTACGTCACAGATTGAAAAAATCTTTTGCACTACTTCTTGTACGAAACTTTGATGATCTTTTGAACATTTTAATATTACTGATGTCTTCGTATAACTTGAATGATTCCATGAATAAAAAAATTGACAAACGTTAGCAAAACCAACAGACTTACTGAAGTTTTCTTCTTGTTGTTATTTGACATTCAACACATAGAAAAATATCACCTGCTTTTTATTATTATCTATGCAATCAATTCATTGTTTTCTGAATACAAATCACTTTTAAGAGCATCAAGAAGAAAACTTTAGAGTCTCTGCACTAAGTATACATTAATAAATGAATATATTCATATTTATATATACTCAGAAGCGGTACACGTATTGAGTGATTGTATATATTTCCAAGTCTTTAAAATAATCAAAGATTTTACTTTATCCTTATCACATGAGTGTCGAAATTTATTGAATTACCTTTCTTAAATTTTCTAAAAAATCCTTATTTTTATTGTTTTATAATTTTATGTCTTTTATTGGAAAAATATCTCAACAAAAACCTTATAAAAAATAATTTTATTATTTCTCTATGGACAGACATATACAACAAAATGATCTACTTATGATACAACATTATTAGTACATAAATAATAATAATTATTTTACTAATAGTAACAACAATAATCACATTATATGAAAATAAATTATTTTTATCATATTAATAACCGTATAATAAATCAGTCGACGAACACAGCAAAAAAATATTAACATAAGTATAACTAACGTTTTTTTCGATACTTGATCCAATTTACAAAATAAACTTCATAGTAAGAATTATAAATCACCGTATTGTTTGGGACATATGTAATGGTGTTAACATTAATTCAAAAGCAGCGTCCTTAAGATTGGCCCCTCGGAGATTTGCTTCGTGCAAATCCGAACCTGACAAGTCGCAACTCTAAAATATTAATAGATTATTTTTTTACAAATTATACGTGAATTCAAAAGATTGGTTTGGAATTAATTTACCTCGAGATCAGCACCAGCTAAGACAGCTGATCTTAAATCACAATTTCGCAACACAGCATGTTTAAGCGTTGCAACTCGGAGATTAGCAGCAGCCATATTACTGCCTTCAAGATTTGCACCTTTCAAATTGACACCCTCCATGAGTGCTGGTTTCCCTCCAGGATCTTCAAAATTACACGAGTGTAAGTCAGCATCTTCGAGATTGGCACAGCTCATTTTGACACATACAAGTTGGGCCCCAGCAAGATTCGCGCCGGATAAATCGGCCCTTTCTAAGCAGCACCCAGTCAAATTTGCAGAAGATAAATTACAGTGACGTAAATCAGCAAACTATTTCAAAAAAATTTTCAGCGTGTAAATTCTTAAGATAAAGTATTTGTTCTCTGAGTTTATTATTAATTTTTTACCTTAAAATTAATATTTCTCAAATCTAATTTTGAAAGATCTGCACCAATTAAACTAACACCTTGAAAACGTAACTCTGTACTAGTGGGAGTTGACATGATTGCTTTCAAAATGTCTTTTCTTGTGAGCGGTCCTTGTTTTTTTTCTTCTTCCTCTTCTTGAATCATTTGTTCTATATTACTAACAATTCCTTCGATACCAAAGAATCGAGCCTCTTCCAAAACACCTTGATGAATTTTTATTTTTCAAATATTATGAATTTCCATTCACTCCATTAAAGCTTCCACTTATTTATAGAACTTACCCAAAGGGTTCAACGTAGAATCCATGATCAACTGTCCATGCCTCAAGTAATTCAAGATGGGTTCAAAATAAGTTGGACTACGATCTATTAAATATGCTCCATTTTTGTCTCTTCTACCAGGCAATAGTTGACAATCTTTGTGACCAGTTTCAGTGAACATTCTAAAATAAAATTTTTCATTTAATAAAAAAACAAAATAATTAAAAAGATAATATATTTTTTGATTTTACCTGGCCAACATACTCATAGGTTCTTTATTAATTAAAGTACTTCTAGTGGTTGAAAAATATTTGCCTCCAACATTAAGTGTGACCCAATCAGTATTCTTATTACCTAACGAATATTCTTTACTTGTCCAAGCAAAATCTTCACCACTAGATACATATAGAATATCATCATCCCTGCAACAATAATTCAAATTATTTTGCAAAATTAAGTAAACTATTACAATAAATAAACATACAAGAATGTAGAAGTACCTTATTAAATTAATATCATCAATTTCCCCTCCTTGGGGGGTGAAGAGTCTTTTGGCTTTAATGTTGAACTTCATACTAGCTTCTTTAAAAAGTTCATCTATGCAATGTGTTACTAAAAATACCTAAATTGAACAAAAAAATAATTAAATTTCGTACCAGTTATTTTACTCAACATATTCTAATGATTTAAGTTAAAATAAATTAATACCATAAAAATTTAATATGACGGAAATTAATAACTAGGCTAATAATAACAGAAAAGATAAAGTTACAAATTCAAAACATGATAATGAGTATTACCTTCCCATTGACATCAGTACCGTTCAAAAAAAGAATAACTCTCTTCATTTCTTTGAATATTTTTCTAGTCCGTTTTACTGGTCGGACTAATCTTGAAAATTCTACATTATCATGAAAACTGTTTTTAATTGAAGGTTGGGTCAATCAACCGTTCTTAAATTTTTCCCTATTATTTTTGCACGATAAATCAATACGGCCATTCGATCTAGCAGAACACTGCACGCAGAGACGCAATGCGGATTTGTTACCTTGCAGGTAGGGCCGTGTTTCGAAATTCGCCATGACCCTCGCGTCCTGCTTTGAACTTCGATCAGTGACGGTCAAGAGCTTGCATTATTTATGCAGGAACAGCCTTGCGAAATGTTCAAAGGATCCACATAAGATACCGCAGTCAGCAGAAGTTGATCGGAAGCTCAAATAAAAATTAAAGAATGTTCCTATATTTTAAATCGCGTCTTACGTTTGCCCATTGAATGATAAAATGTGGCCCTCGTAATTTACAAGTATGAAATTGATATACTTTCATGGTTTTTAAAAATACCAAAATAAAAACTATACATGAGCTGATCAATGCGGCATTACTGCTTTGTTGCTATGTGTTACGATGACAAGAAATATGACACGCGTTCACACACGATCATTCGTGTATAAACGTAAACATTGCAGTTAGACTTGTTTTGTAATCAGTGATCTTTTTCAAGTGCAAAAGAGTGCCCCTTTTATCAATTTTTCAATGTTTGTTATTAATTTTAGTCGAACATTTTCAAATGATGATTTCTTTTAGGAACATCCTAAAAATTTTGAGTGCCAATTTTTCATTATGAATGAAAATATTTTAAAAAGTATCATCAAGAGCAGCAATTTAGCTGATAAAAGTGCATCATCAGATGATTGGCAATCCATAAATGAAAATGAAAATTTTCCAGTCGTCAAACCTAATCTCAATGAAAAACTATCAAGTACATTCACAAAACTTTTGTCGTATAAAGTTTCTAGGGAAGCTTATCAGCGTTACTCTGTCAGATTAAATGTCATTGTGCGTATGAGATGAAATCATGAAATTAAACATTTGACTTTGTTGTTCGTAAATATAATTTATTATTTTTATATTGTTACAGGATACTTTGAGAGATTGGACAAGAATTAAAAGTTCTGTAGGAAAAGTTCTTCCTCATCAAGAATTAAAAAAATCAAGTGACCTACTCTTGAGTATTATGAAAAAATATGCATCTGAAGAAGTGATTGAAAGTTGCGATGATGTTGATAATCTTGTCCAGATGGCTGAAGTTTTGTTGAATTCAACAACAGATAGATCGTCAATGAGATGTTTTGAAAATGTGATAAAAAGAATAATAGATTTAGAGCAAACTGAAAAAAGTCAGGCTTTTTTAAAATATATTTTTCATAAGAGTGACAATTTAAAATTAAGTTCTATTCTAGTTGAGAGTATATACACAACTCAAAAATGTTGGTTGATAGAAAAGCCATTTAATGACTGTTTTATGTCTTGCTGCACGGATGAAAAACAAAATTTTGAACAAAAACTAAGAGAGTTTGACTTTCTATTTGAAAAAATAAGTTGTGATCCATCGTTGTTTCAGCTTTTATCTGAGCAAATGAGAAGTATGTTTGTCATAACAAAGTATGCTGAAAAAACTCAAACTTTTATAAAAAATGTATTGAAACAAATTGATTTACATTGCAGTAAGTATAGCAAAGACACATTAGATCTTTATCCAATTAATTTACAATTCTGTGTCATTCTTTTAAGAATAAAGCCAGAAAATCATTCAAGTGATTCTAAGAGTCATACAGTAAATTCGTTAAAACAAATATTTTTAAAAAATCATGATGATGCTTTAGTATTAGTTTCCCATTTTCCAGACTGGCTCCCAGAGTATGAAAATTTTTTTCATATTATTGAAACTCCAGTGCAAAAAGCATTATAATTGTCACAAACTTTTTGCAAGAAGGAAATGAATGTAAATAAATAAATTTGTTAGATTTTTATTGAAATTTCTGTAAAATAATATGCAATGCATAAAATTGTGAATACTAAATTTTAAACATCACAAATGTTTTTCATAAAATTTTTTATTAAAAAGCTCGTGTCAGAAAATGACAATGCACAACATAAAATGTAACTATAAGTAACTAGAACTCAAATAACTCATAATTTGAGTTTAGAAAGAAACAGGGTGCAATGAACTCATAGTGTGAATGATATTAAATTTAACTTTCATACATGGAAACTTGGTCGATAAATAATCCAAGTAACTTAAAACATTGTGTTTTCGATAATTGTTTATTTAATAAAAATCATTTTTCAATTTGGCTCAAACTCGCAGTATTTTTCATTCACATAATCATATTATAATGCATTATAAGACCGAAGAACAACTTTTCAACTTTTTTTCGAGTCTTGTGCACTGCTCCCTCTCATGGTGAAGTTATTTCTGCGTGTGCTTTCAGTTATTTTCAGTGTAAGTATGTATTTCCTATCTTCTCGAAGAATCTTCCAATCGGTGAACACTTGACTCGTTTATTTTCATATCATAACACCACAATAATAATCGCAGTAACAAAAATTTGGATCCATGCTCTTAAAAGACAATCAATATATTGTAATGATAATAATAATAGTGATAATTAATTAATAGTAATAATTGCTATGATAAGATAATAATGATAGTTGCTGTATTCAATTAGATCTTTTCGCTAATCTTTCAGAGCACACAGTGGCCATTATTACATATTAGTAAATCACTGTCCATCATGTAAGTCTCTATCACGAGCACAATTGTATAGATCCGCTAAATTACGACCATAACGTTTTATCCAATCAAGAAATGTGTTTTGTTCGTTTTAAAACTGGCATTATAATATATATTTGTTTTTTTGTCCACTTAATCTTTTATCGCGTCTCGTATCGTTACGCACGTAAAATCGCAGTTGGCTTGTGTGTGTTATTTTAAATTTTTTTGTTATCCATTTATCTATACATAATTTGTTTATAATCAGCAACGACCAACAACTATCTAACGACACCATATTTCATCTTTTGGTAGTATTTTTCGATTTTTATTATTTTTATTTTTCTTTAATCGTTAAAACAGCAAATGAAACACCAAACTATTTCTACCATGCCAGCTTCTTAACTTTCTTTACCTTTTTCTTTACGCATGCTTATTCATTTTCTTTTTTTCCTTATTCTCATACACATATACACATATCGATTACTTGTTTGTTAATATTTTGTAATAACACGCACACATTTCTTACTTTGTCCTATACCATCGACGTTGCGATTCAAGTACATCAACTCGTTGCAGCCCTCATCGGACAGCATCGTTGCCTATTTTATTATATTATAATGAATCTTTTCGTAGCGCCCAACGTAAGGGACCCAGAATAAAAGGCGACGATTTTATCAGTAAAATCGCGATGGCTTGTTTGCTTATGAACATATTTCATGCAGAAACTAAATATGAATTGTTCGGTTTCGTTTACGGATTTTAATTGTTTTTCAGAATATTCGTGCGTTTTTATTGCAGGAGCTAATGTAACATATAGTCAGTGTGTGTAAATGTTGACTTAGTGCCAATTTTTCTGGGTCCCGCCAGACTTTGACATTTCTATACGCAATCGGTTACAATTATCCTTTAAACACCCTATTTGTAATACAAATATCTAATATGCCGTCGTTTGCTTTTTTTACGTTATTTTATCGCAGATATACATACCTAATATGCGATCGTGTATTTGTGTGAGAAAGAGAGAATAGAGTTAGAAAGAATATTACGTGAATTAGGCACGTAACTTATCTGCGTACGGATTGAATGCGCTCATACATTAACTTCCTCGACTTAGATACAACTGCTCTTTACCTATATTGCGCCTTTATTATCTTATGTATGCCGCAATCCTTTTTCAAGTGCGTATATCATTTAAAAATAATCACATGGTGACATCGCATTCATATAGAGCATAGTGATGGCATGTTTCATTTTCGTTCACATAGATTTTACAAGCCGTTCTTATATTTCATTGTACAGTTCTATACGAGGATGTGTCGTGTATCGCAGTTATTATTTATAATTGTCTAATAATCTTCGATATCTGCCTGCAGTGTATTAACGGGGGAGTTGGGCGCAACGTAATCAATCTTATGTACCAAGTTAATATAATTTTCATTTTTATATAATAGATTTGCATACGGATCTAATTTTTTTGCATCACTTACATTTCATTTTTCCCTATCCTTATGTATACATATATTTATAATATATTTAATATTTCATTGTGTTTTTTTTCTTTAAATCCAGTTTTATTCAGTAGAGACGTTCACATTTCATTTTATTAATCAATAATTTTTTTTTTAATTTCATGTAATTCATTAATATAGCTTGCAAATAAACGTGCTTGGTTTTGTTACGATGTACACAGATAATTAAAATAGTATCAATAATAATAAAAAGAATAATAATAATAATAATAAAGGACCGATCAACAGTCGCTTAGGAAAGGGACGAGAGCCACCCTTATCGTCGCAGCAGCAACTCGTCGTTGAAAGTACGAAAAAATTACAAAAAATGAACAAACATAGATCGAAATAAACAAAAACACTTGTTTGTACATAGTACATGTTTATGAGTGTATGCGCATATTTGAAAAACTTCCGAAGAAGCCATCTTTCATTAATTATACGTGGAAGGGTATGCCAATGAAAGAGCCTCGAAGGCTTTTCATTTTTAAATAGAATTTTTCTCTCACTTACAATAAAAACAATTAATATTTTCATTTGTTTTGCACCGTTTCAAAACCTGCTCTTTACGAAATGCCAACTTTGTAATACGATATAAGTTAATCTCTTGTACACGTACGTAGACAATCAACCAAGAGCTAAGAGCTAAGCTGGGCGGGATGATGCTCGGCTCTATTCCACGGCGATGCGATCGTTATCATTATTTAGTTTTTCTTTTACTCCTTTTAATTGTAACAACTTTTTTTATCCATAAAATCTAAACAATCAAATTCAATTGTAACGCAACCTTCACTCTAGTCCATGTCCTTTTTAAAATATATAATATCATATATTAAGGAATCACGCGATTGGACGAAATGCATTTGAAATAGAAAGTCGAGAATGTCGAACGGTATAATTGCAAAAAAAACTATAGCATAACGAAAATTGTGTAATCGAATAGTTAATTAATCACTTTAAAGCCACTTCACTCTGAGCATTCTTCATGCACGCAAATGCTCATATCACTTAATCATACATAATAATAGTGTTAATAATTCATATCGAAAGTTTAGATGATAAAAATGACACTTCGCAATAAAACGAACAATCTGACATCGTTCACCCGGTAAACGACCGCAAACAATTGTAAAAATTTATAATAGTATACTTAATTGATGGCAAAAAATCATATCCTTCAAGGACTTGATGTTTGTAAAGTTAATTATCGGTATAAGATCTAGTTATGCGGGTACATCTTTGAATGATTCTGATCTCAGAAATATCGACGAAAGGAAACTTTTCCATAAAACTGCCCATCGTCGTTGCTCGCTTATAATTTTTTTTTCAGTTTTTCAAACTTTTCTCAACGTACGTGTACTTGCACATACATTATTATTATTATTATTAAAATTTGTTACATGTAAGCGTGTGCAAATATACATACGTATATACAATACATTTATTTTAAACGTGTACACACACGAGTCATTAACGAGGCGCGTACGATTGGCGTGCGCGCTCATGACTTCGTATTATATTTCAATTCATCAATTAATTTGTTCAATAATCGATGATTCTAAAAGTGAGAAATCACCAGGCCAAGCGAGACCTTTCAAAGGCGCAATCGCATTAAACGGCCTATACTTTTAAATATATATTCATTTATGTATATAATATAATAATATATTTATTATACACAATCGAAGGGCAGCAGGAAATTAGATATAGTCATTACGTTTAGTCGTTTGCGTTTTTACTCCATCTTTCGCGGCGTTAACTGTACTCTCGCATAGTTTGTTTTCATAATAATATAATTATAATAATTATTATATAATGCATCGATTCTGCTTGGCAGAAAAAGAAGATCACGATGGGTGTGGACACACGGACCACGGAGGAGTTGAAGCGCGACGCGTGGATGACGACGCTGTTATCCTTGCCTCGAACCCTCTCGACCTCATTAGTTATTGTTATTACTTTTTTGTTTTAATAGAGTGGCGCTTGATTTCTCGATACTCTCTATATTCTGTTTAATCATTTTTCTTTTCGTAATGGTCAGAATAATTGATGATTTTGGTGTTTTTAATAAAGTAGAATCACTGGGTTCGTAAAACACCATTGAGAGCAGCTTAGCTCGCAAACGCGTACAGAAGCGTTCTCGTGTCGATAACAGTGAAGATAGTGACATATGAAACATTTTCACAATACAATTGAAATAATGTGATTACCGTAGGTTTTTTTTTATGCGAATGTCGAATAGTAATAATATTAATTATTATTAGTAGTAGTAGTATCGGAGAATCGATGAGATAGAGAGAACGAGAGTCAGAGGTGCAATTAATCATCATCAGAGTTCGAGTTAAGTTAAAGCCTTTTTCACTTGATGAGGGGTGAGTCGAGATTTGCGCTGGAATTATTAGGCTGCTGCTGTGGCGGCTGCTGCTGTTGAGAGGTGCCGGAGGGCGACGATGCCTGCGCTGCCTGTCCTGGGCTCTTGGCGTTGTCGGTACTGCCACCGGTTGAGCCAGAGGCCGACAATGAGCTACCACTGCCTTCTTTCATTTTGTCGCAGTAATCGGCGAACACGTCGCGGAACTTGGCCCACGATTTTTCAGGCACCGTTATGGCTGTTCTAAAGTTGGTTTTCACCTACAAAAAGAAGCAAATGTATAAGAGAGCTCGCAATTTTTGCCGTTCGCGCATCGACGCGCGAGCGAGTAAAAAATATATCACAAGCTCGTGTAAGGTACGGTAGCAAACCTCGGAAATTCTCATGTAGATGCCGCGATTATTCTGTCCGATGTCGAAATAGAAATTTTTATTATCGACGCGCATGTAGCGGCCGTCGGGAAGCTCGCCCTTGAAGCCGCCGTCGTCGGTGCCGAACTCCTCGAGCAGATCCGTGAGGGCGTCGCGGAACTCGATCATCCCCTGGGCCGGAATCGCGATCTGAGTCCTGGGTCCGCCGCGCGTAATCGTCTGCGACACCTGCAATAATAAGGCCGGATGGGGCGGCGCATGCGCGCGCTCCCTTTAGTCCAAATGAACACGGCTTCGCTCGATGTGCATACGACGCGCTGCGTACTCAGCTGCTGCTTGGCATTCATTCGCTCGTCGGACTCTTGCAGGAGTTTTACAAATCTCTCGAGTCTCGTATATAGCATGAATAAACATCGAGAGGGATGCAATACTCGTGTACACGCACGCACGCACGCACACACACTTACAGACGCGCCCTCGCACATACTCGCATGTATATAATAACGTGAGAACAAAAAGTACGAAAATAATATAATCAAACAGATGTGCTGTTGGTATACATACAGGGTGACTCACCCGCAGGAAGCGTCCACGCGAGTTTTCCTTCAGGTCCAAATAGTAGCGCCGATTATCCTTGATCATCTTTTCGGATTTGAGCTTGCCGTCGTCAGGTACGTTTTCCGGATTGGGTGGTCCTGCAAGTATACAACACGGAGCGCCCCGGGAAAAGGCGAGAAAGGCGAGGAATTAGCGAGAGAGCCGATTGGCAATCAGCAATTTGCAGATGGGTTATTTCGCCCGTCAATTAACGTGCAAACGAGGAAAAGAGATCTCGGGGGTGAGCGAGGCGAGGCGAGGCGAGCGTAGGCTGCTGCTGCTCTGCGCTCTGTGACCTAGTTAGGTCCTAATAGGCCTCTCTCTTAAAGGGGTTGCGCTCGACCGAGCGCGAACGAGCCATGTGTGTACACGTGCACACACACATAACGCACGCAAGTATGCAATAGACATACTGTGCTTCGGCACTCGATGCGCGAGGCCAATTAATTTCGCACGATTAAACCACATAGAACGTTGGGTGGTCTGCGGATGACTCGAGCCCGATACGACGCGAGTAGCGGAAATCGAGGCCTTTTGCACGTTAATCGACTGCAGCCTGCCCGCACCCGCGTGCGGGAGATACATTATATGTTATGTTTACCTAAGGAAGCGTAATAGTCGCTAAACGTCGAAAGATGATCCCGGAACTCGGATGCAGTGCTCAACGCCAAGAATATTTGACTCCGCCTGCCGTCGGCGCCGATCTGTAAAATTTCGTGAAAAATGGATAACGATTAGATAATCGTGCATCGGAGGATGTATTTAAGCAATATACTCGGTGATGAGACGAGACTCACCTCGGCGACTTTGATGAATCGGCCGCGTTTGTTCTGTTTGACGTCGAGGTAGAATCGTTTGCTCTGGATCTGAAGCATCTTCGTGGCCAACTCCTGCTCGCCCTGCTGGCCTTGTTGGCCTGTGAAAAAGCCATGTAGCGCATAAATTCGTGCGTTCGAGCTTTTTTACGAGTCATCGTGTGTACGTGTAAAATCGCAATCGCCACCTCGAATCGTAACCAATGCGCAGCTGTGGCAATGGCACAAAGGGATTCGTGTACAGTTGCATACGTGTGTATGTCGTCGCAGGTGTAAATCGGTAAGCCGTGCTCGGCGCGTATGGATCGGCCCCATCGCGATAACGAGTGCGGCACGCGATATCGCGCGAGTGTAAATATAGCCCGTGTGGTACGCGATGATAGGCGGTGCGACGACGACGACGACGACGACGAGAGCTTGCACGCGCGCAAACTTGAGAGTGCAACAGTAGCAGCTCTGTGTAGTTGCGACGCGCGGATCAATATCAGCTGCGCGCTCGCGCTGCCCGCCGTCGATTATGGGTCAAAGACCGAGTCTCTCTCTCTCTCTCTCTCTATTTCTCGCGGGCCAAACCAAGGACATCGGTAATTTTTTTCCTGCGAAAAATCATCGAATTACAATTTGCATCCATCCCGTCTGGCAGGGAACCGGCTTGGAACGCGTTGCGGGCTCGCGAGAGCTTATAGGCAAGCGCACTCGATATCGTCTATGCTATACGAGGTATGCGCGTCGAGCAGCAGCAGCAGCAGCACGAAATTGCAACGCGCCACGTGAAAGTCTACAGTCGGGTGCCACGTGATCGGCTCGCGCTCCCCTCCACGCCTGCCTCCCGGTCTGACGTCAGTTGAGCTACACAGCTGACTCCAACTTGCCCACTGCTCTCTCTCTCTCTCTCTCTCTCTCGTCTACTTGCTATATGCAGCGTATAGCTTACAGTCCTAGCTCGCGTATAAAGGTGTACTACACCCTGTGTCCATTTATCTATAGTTATATACGGATACGTATCATTTATGCATATAATACGCTGTATAAGGCGCACGCAGCACGACGACTCGCAGTGCACGTCTATATACGTCGGTATATAAGCCGTCGAATGCTCGCTTCGAGCTTATGCCACTACTGCTGTACACGATATAATCTATCGCGCGCGAGAATAGTCCGCCCGCTGCTACTGCTGCTGCTGCTGCAGTCTCGACCCCGTCGCGCGACGACGACTACGACTCTTTGTATTAATACCTGCTCTGCACTACACCCATGTAGTATAGCATAGAGTGTGTGTGTGTGTGTGTGTGCACATGCTGCTGCTGCTGCTGCTGCTGCTGCTGCGGTGCAGGCGACGGCGCCTCGCAGAGCTCTCGTGTGCACACTGTGCGGTGCAACATCAGCGAGTCTATTAATACGAGCGCATGTGCATGTGCACTTTTCGCATACACCCGCGTGAACGCAGAGTCTCGAGAGTCGAGAGCCAAAACAAGGACGCCGAGTAGAGGTTTTGCATTCGTGACTCGGCGGCGTCTTGTACAAAATTGTTCGTCGACGAGAAGAAAGAGAGAGAGAGAGAGAGAGAGAGAGCAGGAGAGGCCTCGAGGGCCAAAAGCCAGCAGCAACACGCCTCTTTTTTTTGTGTCCAACGAGATAAGCTGCTTTTACACAGCTGTCTCGTTTATACATGTAAGAGAGAGAGACCGAGGCCAAAGCCTTTTTCGCATCCTCTATGCGATGTCAAATTGCTTGTAGCCGAGTCCAGAGATTGGTGCGCATTCGCAGCTCTTTATATGTCTGTGTAACGTGCACACAACACAGGCCACAACGACGAAAGAGAGAGAGAAAAAGAGCCAAGAGCGTGTTACGCACAGGGCATGTATGCAGACTATACGTGTGTCTATAATGTATGTATGCGTGTGTATGTGAATTTACAACGTCCGTATGCGTGTGTGAGTGTGCGAAGCTGCTCGTCGTCGCTTCCATATACTCACCGGACTCGAAATCTGCTCCAGACGCGTCCATGCTTCCTGAGTTGCCATATTCTGCAAAAAGAGAAAAAAAACACAGAAGCGATAAATTAGCATCGAGCTCGAAAGTCGATCGGACCGCGAACGAACGTCCGTCTCGCATACAAGCACGCTTCGCAACGAAAGAGCACGTGCTCGCCCGACATAGCGACACGACCAAGCACACATACATACGTACATAACGATTGATTTAATTGTTCATAATGTCATACAGGCTCTCGTTGCGCCGATCATTTCGGAGCAAAAGCCTTTATTATCGTTTATATTTTTGCGAGCGAATCGACTTGCCGCGAGCATCGAAGGGCATCATAAAGGTGCAGTACGCAAGAGGACACGACGACACGCAACGAAGGCGAAAGATCAAGATTGGCAGCGAGTCGCGCGAGCTTTCGCGATCGTATCCGCAAGTCGCGCGCGCGCGTCGCCTGGAAGCTTGATGCACGTAATATGGTCGCGATGCTGGTTCAACATTTCATCCGGATGCAAGCCCGTTCAAATACGTTCGCGTGCATGCGTGATGCAGCAGCAGCAGGAGAGAGAGAGAGAGAGAGAAAGAAACTTTCTCGTTGCACACAGCCTGCTGCTGCTGCTGCTCCAACTTTGATTTTCGATTGTTCTTTTGCTCGCTCTCACTTTTTTCTCTCTCTATCTCTCTCTCTGTCTCTCTTTCACATTTTTAGCCTTTCGGAGCGCAACTCCTGTGCTCTCGCCAGCAGCAGCAGCAGCCCTTTCTTTGTCGAGAGCGTTTGTACGAGAGTTTAGCCATTGCTGCATACGCGCGTATTACCGAGCCACACGCAAAAAAAAAAAAAAAATACGTTTCTTTTTTTTTAACAGCAGCAACATAGCTGGGTTTGGCGAACAGCAGTTGGGTTTGCTCGTGAGCGCGCGCGCGCGCGCATACTGAAAAGAGAGAGAGAGAGACAGAAAGAGAGTCGCGAGACTCAGACACCGGCCATCTTGGATGATACGGCCGCCCGATGTGTCGCGAGTCAGCGGCGGCGCCCCCGCCCCGAAGTCACCCTGACTGACACACATACACACACACACACGAACACGAACGCAGGCACACTCGAGCACACATCCGCAAGCACGCAAGCATTCGCGCTCGCTGCCACACACATCGCGTACCGAGAGCAAGCACACACGCAGCCACATACAACGCACGCACACATACACACACACACACACACGTACACAAGAGTCAGATGTCCACACTTGCACGGATGCGCGCGACTTGCCACGGACGACGGGGTATCTCGGATATGCACACGACGTGAGATCGTCGCCTAGGACAACGACAAATACTTACTCTGAGGCTGATCGTCGAGGCTCTCCCGATCCGACATGATGTGTGATGTGTGATGATTGCTCGTTGTCCTAAAGATTGTCCTTGTACGTGTGTCTGTGTGTGTGCTGGCTGCTTTAATTCAGCTGCTACTGCTGCTGCTGCTGCTGCTTAGTGGTGGGCAGTATACTCGTTGCTGCTACCCTCTCGTGTATAATGTGCACTCACTTCACCGTTGTTGCTGCTGCTGCTGCTGCTGCTTCGCTTCGATTACGTTTATCGTTGACGCTTGGAGCAGCATGACCCGCACTCGAGTCGGTTCACTTCTCGCTGCTGGCCTACGATGCTTTTGGCAGTCGTGGGGCCAATTGTTGTTGTTGTTGTTATTGTCACTGCTGCACTTTCGTCGTCACAGCAAGTGCATCGAGCTGTACCTACTGCTTATGGCTTTCTCCTGAGACTCGGAAGAGCTACGAGCGTCGCCAAAACATGTATCGTGTATTATGCACAAAGGAGGCGGCGGCGACTGCGGCGGCAGATCTCAGCAAAAAGGGCTCGAAGTATGGAGTAACAGGACGAAGACGACTCGTGGGATATCGGCAGGGCGGCGGTGGTTTCTTTCTTTCCTTCCTTTTTGGTTTTGGTCAAGGGTCAAGACTCGGACGAGACGCGGATGATGCCAAGGAGAGAAAGCAGCAGCATCAGCCCCCCAAGCTCGCGCTCTCGACTCGCTATCTCTTCTGCAGCTGCACTCGCGCGACACCCGCACCAACACGCCAACACCTACAACACATACACACCTACGAGCACTACTCTCTTGTGCACTGCACGGAGAAGAGCACGCGAACTCCGACGATCTCCCTCTCGGCACTGCTGCACACTCGCACGGATAATTCGCGCTGCACACACGCACCAGCACTTGTGCCCAGCCTTGGCTCTCGCCTCTCGGATGCCTCTGCAACTGCTGCTGCTGCTGTAGCCTGCGCTATTTGCCGCGGCCTTCTCGCACTCTCTCAGATGCTGCTGCTAAAAACCTCTGCTGCTATACACATTTGCGCGCCTGCGGCTCCACCTGGAACGGAGCAAACATTTTCGCGTGTGTGTATCGCGTAAATTCGCGTGCGCAGAACCTACCAACTCCGCTGCTGCTGCTGCTGCTGCTACTGCTGCTATATAGTTCTCGGCCTTACATATACACACGACTGCTGCACGTACACACATCAACGTCTAGATTTTCTTGCTCATCTCTCGTGCGACTATATATCGCGGCTCTGCCACTTGACAATGGGTCAATTTTGCAACCGTATAGCTGTTGACTCGGAAGCTCCATTCAACACCGAGTATACCGAGCGATCGTTCGATTTTTGCAAAATTAACGGCTCTGCCGTTTTCCGTATACTTTATCAGTTGCGGACGCCACGGTTATTGCGCTTCCGTCGCAGTTTTATCGTGTGAAACATTAAAAAATTTCGCTAAACGATTACTAGACGCAATTAGAAGAAAAAGAAAGTACAGCGATTATTTGAGCTTTCACGAGAAAAATGACGAGTACCGCAGGAAAAAATGCTACTTCGTACTCGTCTCTTTCACAAACGATTCTGGTAGCATATGTGACTGTCTAATTTTAGATTCTATAATTGAATCCAGTCGAAGGAACTGCGTGGATGAATGAGTTTTCACTGATTTTGCATGAAAAATAATCATTTATTATTTTTGTTTGTGCCAATCTATTACATAATTATGATTGATATTACTGCACCTTCATTGAACAAGGGCAAATTACTTACCTGAGGCTCGCATTAGAATATTGAATAATTTTTTCTTGTATGCAATTCTTTGATTAAATTCAACAATTTAGAAAATTTTCAATCAAGACTTATTTTGGTGAGCGACGCGATTCTGATTTTTGATACGATCGTTTCAAAATATTAAAATAACTTACGCATGATCCTACCGTGGGTGAATTTTCCAACATAAATGTTGATTCCATTATATTTTTGACATTATAGCAATTTAAAAAACTAAATATAACACCTAAATTCAGTGAAATTGATTCATTATCTTATAGTATTCGAAAAATGTTCCCTCTAATTATGTTGATATTAACTCGTTCATTTACACGTTGTCATGAAACAAAAAAGTTCTCTCCTCACATTTTTTAGGGATTTTGAAAATACAAAAGAATTCTTACTAAAATTATCTGAACATCCGTTCTCGGAAAATTATCAATTTTTACTCAATGACGTCCTGATAATTTTTCAAAAAAAAAGTGTGATACTTTCTAAATTATTAATTTAAAAAAAACGTCCAAGTTCGAGAAATCGTCTCGTTCAAATTTTTAGCGCCATTGACTTGCCATGTGCTTGTGCAGTGTGAACGTAACGCGCACGGTTACTATACAGCGTAGAGTCTAACCTACTCGTACTCGCCGACGCCGAAGAAGTCTTTCTTTTCAGATCGTACCTTCGTAGATTAACACGTAAGCCCGATTTCATTAATAATATCAATGAAATTTGTTAACATCGCAAACATTTACAAAATGTAACAAACTCTAATTATTGTTGGACAAGTGAAATTATGTCCAACGGTAATATTTATAAATCAAAATGATGAAATATATGATTTTTGGGCATGACTAATACGTGCGTTTCAATAGGTTATCGTAAAAACATGTGTTTCGTATAAAATCAGTGATTGAGTGCAAATAATTAATTGAAATTTCACTTAAAGATGTTAGTACTGTGAGACTAACTAGTTACGCCAGTGTATTTGTTTGATTTCAATGTTAATGAATTAACTATAATAACTAATATGTTGTATCTTAGTCTTCAATTAATTAATTGAGATTTTTCTATTCTTTTATTGCAATAGTCCACGATGGGCAAAGGAAATAATATGGTGCCCAATGGGCATTTCCATAAGGACTGGCAGCGGTATGTCCGCACCTGGTTCAACCAGCCCATGCGAAAAATCCGCAGAAGGACCAATCGCATCAAGAAAGCACGCTCTGTTGCCCCAAGGTAAGTTATCAGTTATTTTGTATTCCAAACTTCTTCCAATTATGTGTTTTTGGCATTCATGATACTAATCATATAAACTACTCTTGCAGGCCAGTTCAGGCTTTCAGACCATCAGTACACTGCCCAACCCAGCGTTACCACAAGAAGGTCAGGGAAGGTAGAGGATTCACCCTCGCTGAACTTAAAGCTAGTGGGCTCAACAAACGCTATGCCCAGACCATTGGCATCGCTGTCGATCCCCGCAGAAGGAACAAGTCAATTGAAAGCCTTCAACGAAATGTCCAAAGGCTAAAGGAATATAAGACAAGACTTATTTTGTTCCCTCTGAATCCCAAAAAGGTATGTTGCAAAAGTCTCTTCTTTGTTTTTAATTAAACTTTGAATTAACATCTAAAAATACAAAATATTTTAATCTATTTGTCATGTGGTTATACATGTTTATGAAAGTAATTGCCAAGGGATATTTTCTAAAACCAACAATTTCATGTTTTTCAGATCAAGAAGGGAGAGACTGAACAGTCACAAGCTGTAACTCAAATTAAGGGCAAAGTGATGCCAGAGGGTATTAAGGCTCCATCCGCCAAATCAATGGCCCGAGTCATCACTGAAGATGAAAAGAAATTCAATGCTTATGTTGCATTGAGAGTTGCCAGAGCTGACGCTCGTCTTGTTGGCATTAGAGCAAAACGTGTCAAGGATGCATCTGAAAATCCAGATGATGTTACTAAAGTCAAAGACAAAAAATCAAAAAAATAAGTTCATTGACATTGTAATATATTTATCTAATAAATTACGTTTTTGAACACCTGATGCATAATTGATTATTTTTATTTTATAGAAAAACATGAAATTTAAAAATTAATGAGAATTTTTTACAGTACAAGTTACACTGGCAGTCAAGCTTTGTCCCAAATTTAAACATCATTTACTACATTGATGGAAACTTGTGAATTCAAATTTTGATTCTTTTCATCTTTTAACAATTGCTATAGTTAACACTTATCTTGTTGCTTTTTACATAACGATTTGAGCAGAATTTGTGTTTTATAACTCAATCTGTCTTGTTTAGTCACAGCAAAAGCTTTTGATGATACGCCTATTGCTGCATGCTCATTTGAGACTTCATCTGTAATCATGTAAGCTATTCCATAATTATTATATGTTCCAGATAAACACGGAGTAAGCATTAGCTGAAGAACGAAAAGTTGAATCTCAAGTTTATGGACAATTGTCATGGAACAAGGCCTATAAGTATCATCTACAAGATCAAACAAAGTTACAAAGTTGTAAAGGAATCTTTATGGAAAATTAATTTATAACTTATCCCGACGAAAAATTTAATATTCAATGAAAATTTGTATGAACTTAATGTAACTATTTCTTGCTATTTTACGGTGATTTTTATAATGTCATCAGGGTTTCCAAGACATCCTATGGTCACTTCGACCATATACCTACCAAGCCACTGTTACAATGAAAGTCAGAAAATCAGTTGATAATCAATAATTTGATTATTTCAAAATGTTTTAATAATTTTCTCTTCGAAAGCATCGGATTACAAGTCCGCTCAAAAGTGGCCTAGGGTCGTGTTATTTAAATCGAACCTACTGGTCGCGCGTCTTTGACATGCCATGTGCTTGTGCGAATTGCACGCCGCGAGGCTGACAAGTTTCTATATACATGATACATCGTGGTAGTAGCGAAGCCCACAGAGATCCTAACCTCTGTCGTCCTTATTTACTTCTGGTCCGGGTAAAATCTAGCAGGTAAGCTTGACTTGATTATTTATGTCAAAAATAAAATTTGTAAACAAAACACATATTTACTATGGGTAACTTAAATTCTCATTAGCATATGTTAGCAGTGTAAAACTAACTAGTTACTGAAGTGTATTTGTTTTCTATTTCTTTACTTGATTTCGATATTGATGAAGTAACTGCAAAAAATAACGTTGCATCTTCATTTAAAAAAATTTAATTCGGATTTTTTATTTTATCGTTGATTTTCCAACAGCTCATCATGGGCAAAGGAAATAATATGGTGCCCAATGGGCATTTCCATAAGGACTGGCAGCGGTACGTCCGCACCTGGTTCAACCAGCCTATGCGAAAAATCCGCAGAAGAACCAATCGCATCAAGAAAGCCCGCTCTGTTGCCCCAAGGTAAGTTATCAGTTATTTTGCATTCCAAACTTCTTCCAATTATGTGTTTTTGGCATTCATGATTCTAATCATATAAACTACTCTTGCAGGCCAGTTCAGGCTTTCAGACCATCAGTACACTGCCCAACCCAGCGTTACCACAAGAAGGTCAGGGAAGGTAGAGGATTCACCCTCGCTGAACTTAAAGCTAGTGGGCTCAACAAACGCTATGCCCAGACCATTGGCATCGCTGTCGATCCCCGCAGAAGGAACAAGTCAATTGAAAGCCTTCAACGAAATGTCCAAAGGCTAAAGGAATATAAGACAAGACTTATTTTGTTCCCTCTGAATCCCAAAAAGGTATGTTGCAAAAGTCTCTTCTTTGTTTTTAATTAAACTTTGAATTAACATCTAAAAATACAAAATATTTTAATCTATTTGTCATGTGGTTATTCATGTTTATGAAAGTAATTGCCAAGGGATATTTTCTAAAACCAACAATTTCATGTTTTTCAGATCAAGAAGGGAGAGACTGAACAGTCACAAGCTGTAACTCAAATTAAGGGCAAAGTGATGCCAGAGGGTATTAAGGCTCCATCCGCCAAATCAATGGCCCGAGTTATCACTGAAGATGAAAAGAAATTCAATGCTTATGTTGCATTGAGAGTTGCCAGAGCCGACGCTCGTCTTGTTGGCATCAGAGCAAAACGCGTCAAAGACGCATCCGAAAATCCAGATGATGTTACCAAAGTGAAGGACAAAAAATCAAAAAAATAAGTTCATTGACATCATATTAAATTTATTGAATAAATAAAACTTTTTGTTAATTTAATGTGTAATTTATTATTTTTATAAAAAAGAACATATGTATATTATTATCTTTACTTCTTTTACGTAAATTCTTTGAAAATTGAAAATGAATGGAAATTTTTTACAATATTAGTTACATTGGCAGTGCAAGCTTTATCCCATATGTAAACGTCATTTAGTACATTGTTGGAACCTTGTGATTTTAAATTTTGATTCTTCATTATTTTTACAATTTTTGGGGTCAATACTTGACCTACTATATTTTATGTTAAGACTTGAGTAACTTTTCTACTTCAGTAGTAAATTTGAATTATCAACCAAATGAATTGGCATTTAAAAAACAACTTTCATTGGTCGCAATGAGAAACTTGGAACAATAGGTTGCAAATAATGAGTCATTTTCATGTATATGATTGCAAATATTTTTTGAATAAATTATTATTCAATTTTTTAAGCAAAACACAAGAATTGAAGTACAGAGTTATTTCTTACATTGTATTTTCTGTTATAATAAGTTTCATGAAATTGTACAGCAACATTACTTGTGTATTTTCAACGAACAGTATTATATCAATGTATTTATATATCATTATCATGATAATTAATGTGTGATGGATGTATTCATAAAGTGTGTACTGCATAATGTGATTTACATGTAAACATTTCATATGCTCACAACTTTCATTCATCTAGATTTATGTATCATGTTTGTGAAATACACAAAAGTACCACTTGTGTTAGATTCATTTGTATTATTTATACTTTTTTTGTTTTCAAAAGCATAATTTTTAGACCTATTTAGTTTACGTTACTTGTACAATTGCATTTCTTTCATTTCTCAAATTTTTCAATATCTTTGAAAATACTTGATCAATATAACAAAAAAGTTTATCGTGATTCTTTTTCGATCTTTGCAAAGTGGTAAAGTTTACGTTCGACAGAATTTACTTTATGATTTGATCTTCGGGTACTATTCACGGTCGTTGCACTTGTCAAAATCGGCATGCGACATGTTGAGCAAAAAACATAATTGGTGCTCGATTCGAATACAAATTTGCGTTCGATTGTGATATCGGTTTACGTAGAAAAAATGGCCGCCACAGAATAAGGCACACAATTGATGCAATGCGCACTTTAATACAATATATACTATATTATTATTACCATTATAATGGTTTCAATATCTACAACTTTTTTCGTTTGCATTATCATTTTCACCTTTTGAGTACTCTTATCTAATAAAATTTTCCGTATAATAATTTAAGTGCCCTGAAGCTACAATCTTTTAATTTTAATTCAACTTATTCTGAAAATCGGCAAACAAAAAAGACATAACATACAAATGACAAGTGAATGAAAATTCATTATAAAATTTCAAAATAAATTATTGTATTGCTGTATTCGGCAGCACCTGAAATTGAGGTATTGTTATAATATAATTTGATAATAAGTGTATAAATATGTATTTACATAATACACGCGATAGAGAAAAAGATGCTTAATCTAATTCACTAAAATGCACACGTCACAATGTTGTTCTGTACCTTTCTACCTTACAACATGATATCTAGTTTGTTTATTGTGCGACCTTATTAGTGGTTAAACCGTGAATGATGTATAGTCATGTCATTTAAAAACTTTACGATACATTTGAATTATGACTTGCTTATAAACTCTGCTTTCGATCGATCGTTAAAAAAATGCAAACAACGCCCTACAATATTATAATTTTATTTCTGTTTTATCTTTTGACGAGAATGCACGAAATAGTTACACTTTATCTTTTATTTATACAGCTGTATTTTGTAATTTTCTTTTTTCATTTCAATCAGTCATGCCCTCACAAACAATAATCCAACTATTTGACAGGAAAATCAGCACTTTCAATTTGTAATATTTACACATGTCAATTTTATTCATTTTACAGCAAACGCGCCCCCAGTCTGTTGCTAAAAACATCTATAATTCCATTAATCACCATTGACACTTGTTTTTATCATTTAAAATTTTCAACTTTTTATATCTTATTAATTACTATTCATAATCATCAATTACGCACATGTTTATTAGAATATTCTTCTAAAAATTCTAATATTCTTTCAAGCTCTCTTCAACTACAATTCATCTCATTGCAATATTGTTTTTTCTAAGTTTATCACGATTCATTCTAATGGATGCATATTTATTTTATGCTTTTTAGAATTTCTTTTATCGATTGAGATGGGTTAAAACAAAATTATTATATCTTCTACGTATTTTTCCATCATTTCAAAAATATGTATGATAGCAATAGCAATAATATTAATATAACAATAATAATAACGATAATGAAATATTAATAATTAATATAATAATAACGATAATGTTATTTAAAAAGAAGAAGTACAATATATAAAAAGCAGAAAGACATGTACTCAATCATGCCATATTTGTAAATAAATTTATAATGTAAAACGATAAAAAGCAACATAATAAAGGAATTTACCATCTATAGAATCGAATTTCTCTCTGAAAAAATTAATCTAAATGTGCTTAATATGTTTTTTTATATTTTTTGGAAAAGCACACAAAATCGTTGATTTTTTTTGTTTTTTTCTTTGTATCTTTTTTTTCATTTGAAAAAACGACAATGAAAAATGTACTTCTTTCAAACAAGAAGATCTGAGAAATCTCGCGTAATAAGGTTGTATAAAATATGTTTTAATTACATAGGCGACGTGAGTTCTAGCCTCACCTCACACTTTCTATATTCGAATCATTCGATAACAAGAACGATATATAACAATTATAACAATATCCTGTCTCATGCTCAACCACTTTGGTATCAGTTTTCGTCAGCCTTCGTCGGACTAGCTTCTAACTCTTAGTTTCATTTCATTATTATAAATGGAAAATGAAAAAAAAGTATCGAGAGCATATTATGCACGGAGGCTCAACGCAATAAAGAATTACAATAATTATACATTTGCGAACTTGGATTTTTGCAACTAGCAGTTTTAACAAAGTGTATTTATGAGTCGTACTCAATGTTACTTAATCAATTAAAATGGGATAATCACATTTGAGATGAAAAAAATACACCCTTCAATCAATCGTGGAATAATATTCACGTAATCTTTGTTAAGTTGTCAAATTAACTGTTTTGCTATAAATTTTTGAAATGAACGAAATTCTTACGGTTAAAAATGACTTTATCTACGATTAATATATCTAATAATAATAATTAGGAACCCTGACAGGTATTTTTTAACTGTCTTTGAAAAGCTACATACATATGAAACTCTGGAAATCACGTGTCTCGCAAACTTTATAAGAGAGAAAAAAACGATATTATTACAAGACCCTACGGTAACTTATTAAAATATTTTTTACTAGTGCATACCTGTATTACACTGATGCATATCGAAATAGTTGTTTTTTTTTGTACGTAACTTATGAGTGAAGACGTGAGAGAATGCTTTGTTATGTTATTTACAAATGCAAAGCTTTACATTGGAACACAATTAATTTTTCCCCATCAATTTCCGTTACCGCGTTTTAATTTTATGTACAAAAATCTGTTTAATCGACGTTATTCAATATAATTCCATCATTCAACCATCATACTCTCAATTATCAATTAGGGCAACTATAAACTCGCGCTATCTATTCATTTCCTTGTACATTATTTTGTGTAAAAAATTTGTTTATATTTCAGTTAAAAATTTGTAAAAATGCTTGTCAGTTGTGAACTTAAATATCGAACAGTCAATAAAGGAAATGAAAAGCAGCGCTAGTTTATAGAACCCTCGATATCATTTCCTACACACTCCGCGGTATAGAATCTCCGTGGGAGGACGGCCGTGTTGATAAAATCAACTTCACTTATGTGTCATTGTATAGAGCAACAAACAGCTTTACAAGGTATAGGATCATCTTGAGGAGAAACACTGGTCTTGTAAAAAGGTGCGGTTATTATCGGTGGATCGACTAGGTTTGGTAGAGGCTTTCCACCCGTGTAGCAGCTTTCATAGACCTCATAGGCTTCGTCGAGCGGTAGATTCGGGTAGCTATCGTTGATACTAGTCGGCGTTTCTTCTTCTACAACAACATTGTGCACCATAATTTTTCCCAAAGGGTTAATGCTTATCTCATCAGAGTTCGTAACACGAACTGATGTAGGCGCGGCATAATCTTCGAGGCTGCTTTCCAAACTCGAGTCATCGTGTAATCGGTAAAAAACGTTAACGTGGTTCTCAGCTGAATCCCTCAACGTTGCATCTTCATTAGCAGCTTGACAGGGTTTCTTTTCGATAGGTTCAACTATCTCAGCTTCCCAACACTCGAGCACGTCGGGCTCGTCGATGCTGCCGAGGGAGCGATTATCAACTTCTGAATCGTTGGACGCACTATAACTGCTACTGTTGTTGCTACTTTTTCCAATTTTTCTGCGCTCTTGGGAGACAAGAAGCAGTTCACCTTGCATTGAAACGATAATTTCGCCTTTCTCAAAAGTCTTCACTTGTTCATCGTCTACTGCACGTGCATTACTGCATACATTTTCTTGAAAATTGTTTGATTTAGTATGCAAATCACTTAATTTTTGTCCAGACTCTTGACCTCTTCGTTTTAACTTTATCCGAGAGTTTTTGGCAACCCTCATACTCACATCTCTATCTTTGGCGGTGAAATTGCAAGTTCTATCGATTTCATTTTTTGGCGAAAAATTCCCAAAATGATCTTCTTTTTCTTTGATTCGACTGCATTGTTTTGAGGCTGCAAGAAAACATAAAATTATCATTAGTAATTTAAGCTATAAGTTTAATTTTGTACTCAAAATTATAAACAAAAAATTCACTCACAAATATTAGTTGCAGATTTGTCAATGTTCTTATGGCTTGCAACACCCTTCAACAGCAAAAATGCGTTTGGTTTTCTCTTTTGCTTGTTAACTTTTTTTCCATTCGAAATAGAGTTGCCATTTGAAGCTTTTTCTCTTTCGCGTACAGTGTCGTTGAATCTTGCAAATCGTCCGCAATCTATTTTAGTCTCGAAACCATACTGGTCTGCGCTACTATAAGATAGTGCAAGCATAGGGTTGCCTTTCAAGTTTTTTGACGGTTTGTCACTTGTCGGCCAGCTGTGAGCTGCTATTTTCACATCCTTTATTTCGTCATCGTCATCCGATTCGTCGCTGCCATTTTCGCGGTCGTCGTTGTCGTCGTCATCGTCACTAGCCGAGTCAGAGGATGTTATGAATAATCTCGGCGAACTGGCTCTTTTCAGCCATTCGTTCACAGCTTCGCTTATTTGTTTATCAGCTGCATAATTCAACTTTGATGGTTGACTATCGACACCGGAATCTTCGTCGGTTGTTACAGTAGCAATAGACGGTGGCACTTCGATTGTTGTCTTCTTAGTCACAATTTCTGTCAATAAATTAGTCGAAGTCGAAGTCGTACTGGCCACTGTAGTGGCCATCGTAGTCGTTGTGCTCTCATGACAAAAATTCTCAGAAGTAATTTTGTTTGTCCACGAAAGACTGATATCTAATTAAAATTCAAGAATTTCGCAACTCAATGTTTTATATGCATACTGTAAAAATTAGTAACGAGCAGTGATGTTAGTTATGGGTCATGCAGACGACTGATGATACTATGATTCGTTTTATATATGCACAGTAACAATTTTTATCAAAACATGTGTTTTTCAATTCGAATTGATGAAATTTTTCTGAAATGTTTTGCGAGAATCACGCATTGCGATTCTTTTATTGAACCTTGTATTTTTTCCATGCAATGAATTAATCAAACGATCGGTTTATGTGTATGCCTTATGAGAATCAGTCCGAATTGATTACACATTAAAATCATAAATTTCTCCAAAGATCATTTTAATTAAATATTTTCTATTTAAAATTTTTACAGTTATTTACAGTTTGATTAGTTACATAACAACGTATTTTCACATCCAGTATTTGCGCTGATTATTCTTGCAAATGTGCATATAACTTCTCTCATGAATATGCAACAATACTGATATCGCTAAGTATAGCATGTCTATTCCTTATTAAACATTACGTTCAAGCAAAGCTAAAATTTGATCAAGCATGGATCATACTTATTTGCACTCATTTATACATATGGTAATTACAAATATTTGCAATTAATAATAGTAGTTGCCTTTTTTACATAAAATACGATATGTTTGATTACGTATTTAAACCGTGTTATTTTGTAGATACGTTGGCAGCATGTATCTATTAGCGTGTAAAAATTATTTTATTCTAAAAAAAGCCGGAAGCCTGTCAAAAACCACTCATGGTTCTTGGTCTGGTCCATCGTTAAACAGTCGCTACACGAAAAATCGTGAATTATACTATGACGATGACACATTCGACACTATATCACACAACTATTCTTATTAGTACATGAGTAAATAATTTGTATTCGTTTTACTGGGTAAAAAGTAGCAACAAACATTCCAGACCGTTTGGTCACTGGTGTGAAATTGAGGTTTTGCTCATTTTTTAAATTTCAAGTCGTTAAATTGTTTGAATAGTGTCGTTATACGGGAGTTTTTCATGACATTGCAGGTCAGCATTCTCTAAAAAAGCACTCGTCATTACAATCAAGGATGAATGAGTGACATTGTGTACAGTAGCAACTTTCAACACAGTCAATCGGTTGTAGAAGTGGTATCATTTAACTAAAAAAAAATTTTTTAAATGTGAAAAAATGTTTGATGAGAAAGAGCCCACTTATAATCAAAAACTGTTACTGCACGCAAAATGCAACTAAATTTTGTGATGACCCACCGAAATCTTTGTCGTTTTGAGGACTAACGTATACTGACGTCGAATCGAGATTTGAAGATACGTTCAAATTATCTACCGCCGAAGAGACGTCTTCACTGTTTTCTTTTTCATCAACGACAGAATCTTGGTCTTCCAGCGTAATATCACCATTAGTCAAAGGAACTGTTTTCGAAATTTCAGCGTCTTTTTTATCAGCAATGCCGTCTTTTTGACTTTCTACCGAACAATTCAGTCTTAAATTTTCGTTGTCAGCTTCGCTATTGTGATTGCTGTAACGATTATCTTTTGGAGGCATCGAGTCCATGTGATCTTCAGCACCGTTCGTCATCGAAGCTGGTTGGAATTCTTCAGTGGCAGGATTCAAGACTGATTTTGAAATCCAATTCTTCTCCTCTGTAACCGGTGTGCTTGATAATGTGAATTCAGCACAGTCTGGGTTCAAGGAACTTTTTGATTTCGGCTCGATCGATTCCGAGTGCTTTTGTTGGGAAACTGAAGATCTCTGAAAAAAAATGAAGATAAGACCGTAAAAATTTTATATTAAAACATAATATAAGTCATTAATAGATGATAAACGTTGCTACTAACTTCGTGTTTTTTCTGTTTTTCTTCGTGGAACTTTGCCTCTTCGGGGCTCACAATGGGTACAGCTCGAGCTCCACTATTTTTTGACCTGACTTGATGCATGGCGCTGTAACTGAGCGTATGCCCATTTGGAATGGTCCCGCCTTTGGTAATGCGAAAGAGAAGAAATAAAACTTGATGTTAATTTATTGCTATCAAAAATTGATAAATGATGGTATTTTCTGTACACGACCGCGTACAAGTATTGATAGATATTTATATGAGATGCATAGCAACGATGAAATTCATCTTATAAATCAATAGCAGGAAATGAAATAATGAATGAAAAATGTCACTTGAAATATTTGGCACGCGGCACAGGGAACAATGAAGAACGAGCTAGAGAGGAAGAGACAAAAAAATAGAAGTGAAGAAACGACGACAGCGAGCACCAGTGAACGAAAGTAGTTGCAGTAGTGCGCGAGAAATAGAGTTAGACGGTAGCGTTGGCGGATGCACCAGCAACGGTCCAGAGAGACACAAAAAGAGAATATCTAAAAAGCGGCGAGAGATAATTGTATATGCGTGAAAATGGGGGTAAACGAAAGTTACTGCGAGATCGGTGCACGTTTCGTGCACAAACACAAACGGATTCATGAGAAAATCATCGAGCTTATTAGGAGCAGGAGAGCCGCAGTTGCAAAAAAAATTGAATAATTAATGTCGATGCGCGCGTGCAACCAAGTGTGTCGCTCATGTTCGCTCTGTTGGCGACCGATCGGCTGCGAGTTTCTTTTCTTCGCTCTTTTATTTTTAATGTCTTTATTTAGATCAACTCAGAGTGGCTTCGGCTGCCAAACTGAGAGCGCAGCTTTTACTGTTACTTGTCCTTGTTAGAAGCATCTACTCTTTGGTCAAAATAGTCGCGACACACGATTACTTGCTTTGTGAGTAAAGTGTAATTATGTACATACGAATACATGTATGTGATTCAAATGTTCTAAAGCAACTTATGAGAATTAAATGAAGCTTTTTTTTATAGCACGTTAACCTCAACTTTAACTTTGCTGATAGTTTTAAGCTTTCATGCTATAAAAACATGTACGCAACTTATGCGAATATTCTTTTTTAGAAAAACGAAGGACTGCAGCAGTAGGCGAAGACAAGTTCCTTTCATTTCACTAAAAAAAGATATTTTCACCAGTTGTGTAATTTACTATTACGCAAGAATTGATTTATGAACGATATTTGTAAAATTTAAGAACACTGTAATTCAAGCTGATTTTTACAGATACAGAACATTCAGATGCCGGTTGTATTATTCCAAAAGTGTTTGAACCTATAATCCCGACTTACAAGCGAGATTTCGACTTTGGTGTCAACGTGCATTGTAAAAAAAAATACAAAAAACAACAAGAGTCGACGAGAGTAACGAAATCTCACTACGCGTACCATTTACCGGTTTACCTGGCAAGTGGTAGTGGTAGAGCGGTTATGATACAGCAATGCACTGGACGATGTACAGGGCAACAGCTTTCATGAATCTGAGTACGTCCTGAACTCTTGTCGACTGGGCGACATCCGATCGACACTGCTCTCGATTAAAATTATAAAAAAAACAGATACGACTCAAGCTAATGTTCTTTTACAAAACGAAAACTTAAAGAATTGAATTTTGCGCGCACTTACAGAGAGCTCGGTAACTCTGCCCTAAAAAGAACTGAACGCGCAACCAAAATAGACAAGGAAATTTTTCAGTACTCTTGCGGACAGTTCCAAGCTCTCTTCTAGTGTGCTTTTTGTTAGTCTCATTGATTCGACTTTTATGGACGGAAACTAAAAAAAAAATCGATGCCTTGAATTTTCGAGACAGAAGTGGTAAGAGCATAAAGAAAACAAAACACGAACAAACATAACTAGTAATTGAACAAAAAATACACGGGTATAACGATTGTAAAATTCAAAGCGGAGAATACTAACCAGTGCCAGTTACCATGCTTCCAGGATAAACGTACGGGCTATTAAGTACTTGAGGTACAAAGGCCTGAGCTCGGCTCATTGGATACGTCACTACGCCATCAACATAGCTCGATCCAACAGGAAACTCTGCAACAGCTTGCACTGAGTATTCAGTTGAACTGTTATTTATTGGATATTGCTGCATGGTTGTATATTCTGGAGCATAGCTGACTGGAATTCCTTGATAGCTACTTGTAGCTGTAACAGTTGGTGGTACATAAGCTACTGGTCGATATTCTTCAGATGCAATGTAATTTATTCTGTCTTGATGATATGTAGCTGATGGTGCATAAACTGTCGGTTCTTGGTATTGAGGATTGCCATACGTTCCGTAAGAGTTTTGTGACAGGTAAACTTGTGTCGGTACAACATATTCCGGCATTTCATTTTCAGGGTATGCAACGGACTCAACACTTGGTACTGCTTCTGCGTATGCAGCAGTTTCAACACTTGGTATTGTTTCTGCGTATACAACAGATTCAGTGCAAGGTATCGAATCTGCGTATACAACAGATTCAACGCATGGTGCTGCTTCTGAATATACAACGGTTTCAGCACAAGGTACTGCTTCGGTGTATGTAACAGGTTCAGCATCAGGAGCTGTTTCTGGTTGATTTGAAATGAGTTCGGCGCACTCTGTTTTTGGTTGAGCTAACGTATTTTGGTCACAATCCGTCACTTCTGCAAGGTTATCAGCAGCGGCTTGTATACTCTCATCGGCTGGTATTTGACAGTGAGACTGTTCGACGTAACGTTGCTCTGCACTAGATTCTGAGTCACATTTATCAACAGTCAGTTCTGTTTCAAGCGAAGTATTAGGTTCACAAATCACTTGATCGTCCACAGAGTAATGTTCAGCAGACCTGTATTCTTCACTATGCTGAAAATCAGTTTCGTTTGGATGATACACAGCTTCAGCATACTCTCCTTCGGCATTATATTGAGAATCATTGTGATAACCATTTACAATAATGTGATTCTCAGAAGTTACATTGAATTCAGAAGGATAAGAGTGGACAGGAACGCTGCACTCTTCTCTTGGAACTGCATAAGTAGGGTCTACATACTCTTCGGATTGAACGATGTAAGGAGTATCTGTTGTATAATTAGTAAGAGAAATGTAACCATTTTCGTGAGTCTGAGAAACATCGACATTTTCTACTGTGACTTGTTGATAATGCTCATAAGTCGATTGTTCTTGTTCGTATTGAGCTGGATCGACGCACGATAAATTTCCTTGATCGTAGATAGCATTTTCATAATTCAATTGTTGCGATTCATACTGATTCGATTCTGCGAAATGCGACTGCTCTGTCGAATAACTTTCTTCTACCACGAGATTCTCAGAATTAGCTACATAATGCGTTCCTGCATATTCCGGATTTTCTATGGAGCATTGAACACTTGCTTGCATTACTGGTTCTCCCGCATAATAGCTAGCGTTTGGTTGATAAAGATCATTTGTTGGATAAACCGCGTTTTCAACAGAATACGGAGCTACTTCTGCATAATTATTTTCATGGGTTGGATAGCATTCAACTGCAGCATTAGCTTCAGATGAGTAGTAATAATTAGCAGCTTCAGGCTCGGGCTTTTCTGCACTAGAGCTTTGAGTTGATTCAACCAAATTTTTAGGTGGTAGAGCAATACTTTTATTCGGAATATATTCTGCAGCTTCTGGATTATAACGTTTATTTTTATCCGCTGACAAACATTTCTCTGATTTCGAAATTTCTTGTTCTTTGACCTTTGAGCTTACTTCAGAAGAGCTTTCCGTCCCTTTCAACTCGGTATCTGATACTTCTGAAACCTTTACTGCGTTATTTTCTATTAAAGTGGGCGCTTTCAAAGATAAAGGCTCGATGGTACTATTTACATCAACAGCATCAGTTACCAAAGAATCTTTCTCTGCAACTTGTTCGGATACATTTTGACTTTGCTCGGCACATGACGCATAGGATGCTGGTGGTACATTTTCGACTGAAGTGGATACACATATAGATTCAACGTGATTTGACGAAGACCGGCGAGAGTCTTGTTTTGTTGAATTAATTTCTATTAGTATACCCCTGCCTTTAGCTCGTTTAATAAATTCATCAGCATCACTGGGATCAATAACTGCGTTATTATCTACTGAGGTGCTTGCAGAAGAATCTTTACTTTGATTTTCTAAATTGTCTTCACTCTGTGCGTCACGATCCGAGTTGGCATTGGAAAATGAATTTTTAATTCTAGAAAATTCAAGCGCATTTGGATTCAACGCAGTCACCCGAGAGTTGTTCTTACTTTCGGATTTCGATAAAGAACCCGATTTGAATTCAGGAGCTTCTGGATTCAATAAAGTAGGTAGCGTCATAGAAGCTTCAGTCGTAACAACAGTTGTATCTACCACTGTTGATTGCCGATCGATGCACTGCTGTTGTATGGGAATGGAAATGGTTTCAGTCGTGGATTCAGATTTTTGTTTACACTTATCTGATTGAACGATTTTTTCTGCTACATCGACTGACTCTGGTTCACAATCCGTCATATCGACAACTTGTTTGTTCAATGCATCATTGAGCGATTCCAAGAATGAACTGGATACATCACCAAACGTTAGCGTTACCGCAGGAGTACTTTTTCCGTTGATTTCATGGGTTTTGATAGGCTTAGCGACATTTTTGACTTTGGTTTGTTCGGTCTGTTCTACCGCGCGAATCGGAGAACTCGGAGGCTCCAAAAGCTCGGACTCGTCGCTTTGCTTGTGCGCAACCGAAGCGTTCACTGCATCTCGATCGACGACGTGCTCGGGAGATTTTTGCGGAGCTGCCTCGTCGGTCTCGACTCGAGGAGGCACCTCGAGCTCCGGAGAATTTCGCGACTCCGTGGACATCGACTCCTCCTGCCGTTCATTTTGACACTCTTGAGACTTTTCCAGGTCCATTTGTTGCGTTATATGCATTTTTTCGAGAGGCTCTTGCAAATCCTCGATCCTCGTGTGCACGTCCGACTTGTCGAGATCGGCAGCGCTGACCTCGTCGCTCACGCTGCTCGGGCTGAGCGGTGCCGAGCAGGCCGGGCTCGTCGAGCCGGTCGACGCGTTCGGAGAGTTCATCGGCATAACCGAGCCATTGTACTGACTATCATTTTGTGCGTTCATTTGCGGTGCCGTAGAATAATTTACATCGTGCATCTGTAAAACAAAATCATCGTGTTTTTTTTTTGCGAAAATTCGAAGGAAAAGAGAGGGAGAGAAAAATTGGCCGAGAAACTCACTGGATACTGATACAGCGGAGTCTGTCCCACGGACACGTAATTAGGATGCCAGTCGAAGGGCGGTATATGCAGCGAGGGTGGCAGCGAACACACAGCTGCCATAACGGGAGGCGGATGCATGTGCGTAGTCACCGGTCCAATGATCATGGGATACACCATCATGCCGGCTCCCGAGTCGCACACGTACTGTGGCGTATGGTAGATGTGATTCGCGCCTCCATCGTCCGTAATCATGCCCGCCGCCGTCACGAAACCATCGAGATGATCCTCGGCCTCTTCGCTTCCATCTGTCAACACAAACAATACCAAAGTTAGTTTGTGGTTCAATTTCGAGGAAAGGGTCAATCAATTTTCATGCGGTTCGGCAAACAATTTTAATGCGAAGCTTTGTGCAATAGCGTTAGAGTGATTGCGAGAAAGTAAGTGCATCCAAGTAGAGGAAGCCAAGGAAAGCAGGTTGACGTGCAAGGTAGAGGGTAATTTCAACGATAAAAAGGGTATAGAAAAGCGAGAAAGAAGCGTCGTTTACAGCAGCTACCTAAATTCTTACAACCTGCGGTGGAGTGCGAGGCGGAGTGGCTCTCGGTCGTGGACGGCGTAGCGCTCATACTGGCCAGTCCGCTGTTCCAGGGGGCAGCGCCGCTGCTGCTGCTTCGCGAGTGGTGCTGCTGGTGCTGATTGTGGTGATGGCGATGGTGTTGCTGCTGCTGCTGCTGATGGTGCTGCGACAGGTAGCCCTTCTTGAAGAGCATGTCCTGTCGGGGCGTCGACACCCTCGTGTACTCGCTCTCGTCGAAGGCGCTGGGCGAGCCGCCCTCCTGCGTGCCATTGCCTCCTTGCGATGCCAGGCCGGCGCCGTCTTCGTCGCGGGCTCGTTTGCGGGCCGCGCGTTGAGCGCCGCCCCCGGAGCCGTTGCCGCTGTGGCCGTTGGCTCGGTGGTTGCCGACATTGTTGTGGCTGTTGTTGTGGTTGTTGTTGTTGTTGTGGTGGCTCGAGGCCTTGTTCAGCCAGGGTGGACTCGGGCCGCCCGCGGCGTTCTGGTAGCCGTTGTTGCTGCGCGACGTCGCCGATCCTTGTCGGGCCGCGTGATCCTTGCCATTGACCTCGTGCTGCTGCTGCTGCTGCTCGCGCCTGTGATACTGCTTAACTTTGGTTGCGTACGAGTTGGCATTCTCCTCGTCGTCCTCCTCGCCGGGCGAAGCTGCAAAAGCGAATACGATACGGGTGAGCTTAAAACTAGAGCCCCTATGACGCACCATTCATGGCGCGCGCGCTGGACGTCGACCTCTGCTCTCGTATAATAAATAAAAAAAAGCTGCTGCTACCGCTGCACACACCAACGGAAATAGACGCGCGGCGTCGTTTTTCTAGCAACGGCGCCAGTGACAGTTCTAGCAGCAGCAGCATCAGCAGCAGCGCTGGCAGAATTTGAAGAGCAAAGAACGACGAGGCACGCACACAGTCTCCCTTCTGCATACACAGCCACGACGAGCGAGCTTTTATATCATACATAATGAACGAGATTTTTCAGTTTGACATCGTCCACGCGCGATTATGACCTCGTTCGTTATACACTACTACGCGAGTCGACGAGAGATGCTCTTTGTGCGTTCTTTATTCGCGCGCGAAATGCTGCTACCCTCGGCAAACGACGCGAACGATTTTTTTTTTTTCACCTTTTTCTTTTTTGCTTCTTTTAATTTTACCTGCCGAGATGCTCGCTCTATTTTGTTATCTTTGACGCGTGTGCGTATACCTACGAGCTTACAGCGTTTCGACTAATTTATTATTGCTCGACGCGATAAGCAGCAGCGAATATGAGTTTTCAATCGGGTCTCTCCGTATAGGCAAACATTGGTCTTATATTCGTGCAACAGACGGTGCGCGTGTGTGTGCACTACGTCAAGGCGCTTCGCATGTGCGTTTATCGTTTCACTGTATATATATGCACAATATATACGCAAACGCGCCAACAACACGCTTCACACGATCGACCGATTGCGGATCGGTCGTAAAATGAAAAGAGAAAAAAAAGGGTATCGCTCACGTATACCGATTGCTTTTCGAGAACAAGGAGTCACACGCGCGCGTGCACAAGCTATAAAGCTGGCTGACTGGCTGTGCAACGCGTCGAAGCGCTAAATATAATGCATGTGGCCATATCAAAAGTGAATAATATAATGAGCGAGCGAGCGCGCGCGTCTGCGTGCCCGATGCGTGCAGCGTGCGTTGTGTAACGAGCTTCGCTAAAATCGGAAACATCAAGGGCTACTGCTACTCAGAGCTGCTACTCCGTAACGCGTATTTCAAGAGCATCGATTCTCTTTTTTTTTTGCATTCTCTCTCTCTCTCTCGTCATCACCTGCATCATATACACTTGTTTATTGCAATGAAAAGGCAACATTTTTCACGATTTACATAAGCAGTCGCTCGTTGCTCGCGCGCGCGTCGTTGCGCCATTATGCGTCACAATTTTTATCGCTCGAAACGGGAATGTAATATCGAGAAATGTCACTTATACCGGCGTGCATGCAAGCTTATATATACGTGTCTGCGAGTGTGAGTGCGTGTGACATATTCTAGGCAGCGTGCAGATATTAAGTTTGCGACAGGCTCTCGCGCGAGCAGTGGACGGAAAAAGATGTCTGGGCCAACGGAAAGCCGAAGAGAGAGAGAGAGAGATCTGCGAGAAAAAAAGGAGCAGCAGGAGCGGGAGCCGACTGCAAAACCGCTGCTGCGGCGCAGAGAGACACGAGGTATATAGGCGATTTCTTTGGGGTATAAAAATTTTCGAAAGAGCAGCGGCCAGCAGCAGCACACGGCTCGTCGATCGAGTGGATTGCATTAGAAGCCGAGCGATGCGCTCGTACTGCACATCCAAAACAAATGGTCCGATGGGGCTATTATTAGCTGGGCGAGTACTTGGCCGAGACCGCGCGCGCGCGAGCGAGCTTTCTCAACTCCGAGCCACACGAATATTCCATGAGCTGCTCCTCTTTCGAGAGGGAGAGAGAGAGGACAAGAGGGGGAGGAATACTTAATGCCCCATCGATCCATATAAACGACTTTATAAGTTGTCGCGGGCGAAAGAAAACGTTGTGTCTCGAAGCTCGGCTGGCTTCTCTTTCTCTCTCTCTCTCTCTCTAGACTTTGCAGCCTACGAGGGGATTAAAAGGCATCGTGCAAGAAAATTGACGACACACATCTGCGCGTAGAGTAGGCACCTTTGAACGTCTAGCCTAGTAGCCACCCCTGGTCAGTCGATGGATAAAAACAACAACAACCGCATCTCGATGGCATTTGCCGCACGCGTTTACGTAAAAAGAGAGAGAAATAAAAATCAACGCGTATGTGCAACTTTGAGACTCATAATTAACAATCTTATGTAAGTAAAAGCGTTAGCCTATACACATACGTATACATTAGTCTCCGTTCGAATCGAGCATAATAATATTACCGCCGTCGTCTTGGCTCGCAGAGACGTTTGCGATTGATAAGTGCTGCAGTCGTGTATCAATGCAGGCGCGTGTATGCGTGAGCGCGTACGGCCGATATGCCGGCCTCTGTATACACACGCTACATATGATTCTCTTGAACAAAGCTCGAGACTGCGAATCTAGCGTGGGAGGGGCTCTGCCTATGAGACAGCCAATACAACTCTATCGTTGTTATTGCAGCCCCTTCCACACTCGATTCACCACGCAGCTCGTGACAAAATGATTCTCTATCTATATGTAACGTGTATAATATAGTGTACAACGCACACAGACAACGGGCCATGTTTATAATGTACATTATACGCGCGCGTCTGTGTGTATGCGCGCAGTGAGACACGAGTTGTCGTCGTAGCAGTTGCCGTCACCGCTGCTTTACTGCCATTCTCCATTGACTATTATACAAGCCGGCTGAGTGCGACTTCGTGTAGAGCCGTGTGTGCTGCTGCTATATACTACCACTATATACACTGCTGCTCTCGTACCAATTTCGATCGCGCGAGCCGAGCATCCCGTTCCTGCCTCTGCATAGTGCTTTACTTATTTACGCGCACGTGCACACGACGTCCGAGGGAAGAAGCTTCGACGAGCAATTTCTTTTTTCCTGCTTTCGTACGTAATAATCGCTTAAATAAACAAACAAACAAAAAACAAAAAAAAAATCATCGAACGACGATGATGTGATACCCACTTTGAACGACTTTCGAGCTCCTACACTGAGAGCAGACGTATGTGATAACGTTATTGATAGCGTAGGGCGCAGGCACGAGGATATACGGGCAAAAAGTCGGCTGATGTTGCGGCGGCGGCGGCGGCGCTTGATAACGTGGTGGATACAGCTGTTGGTGAGGGTGCACATACTCATCGTGACCGATTCGCCGATTCGAAAATTTGAGCTCAACGGGACTCGGGGGTGTGTCGTAACCGGACTCGCTACTGCCTCTTTCGGAATACATTTTCACACCTCTTTGTTTTTGTTTGTTGTTGTTGTTGTTGTTTTTAAAGAATTTTCCGTGTACGATGTGTAGGAATGTGTCGTTTTGTGCGAGCGACTTTTTGAGTGTCAAGCGGTGACGAGGAACAGGTTCAAAGTTTCATGCGTGCTAGTGGCGTGCAAACGGAGTAGGAAATCGACCAAAGGATTTTTTTCTCTCATGCGATGAAGTCCTCTCCCAAGTCGATGAGCTTCTTTTTCTCTCTCGTTTTAATTTCGTTTCATGCTTTACTTTGTCACAATGGCTCGCTTTTCATCGTCAAATGATGTGCTCTGATGCTGCGTAAAAACAAAAGGATAAAAAAGTGTCAAAATAAAAAAATCATAAGTAAGAAAACAAAATCAAACAATAAAAAGTATTAGAAGTTAGAGTCGGTCATGAAGTTAAAAATGAAATATTCTGAATGTATACGCAAACGTTTTAAAAATGAACGAATGATAAAGAGTTAACGAGCTCGTGAATATGGAGTAATGTTGAACCGAAAAAAGACGACAACGCTTGAATCAGATCGGTAAGATGCAATGAACACTGACCTTTGAATTAAAACTGATCCATCCATTCAATGATCATTCGTATGAATTTAAATAATTCACTATATTGAATAAGATAAGAGCCAACACAAACACACGCACACACACACGAGAGACGAAGATTATTCTTTTTTTTCTTTGGTGGTATGCTCATTGAAACGACAAGCTCAAAACAAACAAACTTACGAGAATAAAACAAGAGTCGAAACTTTTCCAGCACCAAAAAAAAAGAAATGAAAAAAGGCGTGCGGATGGAAATTCTTTGATGAAACACGACCGCTCGAAGCTGTGTGTCGACCAAGCGTACGTGTATCGCATAATGTGCAAGAGTAAATGTGGCCAAGAGTGTAGTCGCGAGCTTTTCTCACAACCGGTACAATTATGCAATCGCGAGAGTATACATGTATATATATGCGCTCGTGTATTCATATACGCATGAAAGAAGGTCTACGATCTGCGTAACGCGCGAACCGCACGTGCGCTTTTCGACGGCAGCGGCGTAAAATTAGCGGCCGAGAAATCGATCGAACGAAACAATGCAACTCTTTCAAAATCTCGTTGTTTGTGAACTTATCAAACGTATTATGATATTTTGGGCTCTATCTGTCACATAATCTTGTACTTATACTTATGCTTACACTATTAATAATAAGCAAACAATGGTAATAACAACAATGACTTTAATCTTATACATAATCAGTGAAAAATCCATGCGTTGGCTATAATTAGTTCTGCAAATAAAAATCAGCTATGCTAATGACAGCACTATTTATACAATACAAGCAATATGCAAAAGCGTCACATTTTAACATTTATGAAGTCAAAGACTGGAAAAGACTATTCGTGCACTACTTTATCAATAATGTAATCATGCAGATATAGATGGAAAATAAGAATCATAAAAGTATATGAAAATTCAGACTGTAAAAAAAGTCATTAAAAGTGTGCTTATATCGTACCCACATTTATGTGTAGTTTTCATGCAAGTATGCGCGCGACTGTGTGTATCCGAGTGCGTCAGTGTGCGTCGAGTATTATTATTGCGTCAGTGTAGAATTGTACATGTTTACAATATTATGTAATTCGCATACACGATTTCGAAAATATTCAAACGATACTCTCCGCTACCAGCTGGAGATGCTCCTTGAAAAATTATCCAAAAAGAGATAAGTTAATTGCGCGCTCATACATTATCGATATGCTGTGCTCGCTTATAATCGCTCGCAAGGAGAAAACAATACACAGGCCGATCGATATATATACGCCGATACAAGTGAGAGCGACAAAAATACGTTGGAGCATAGATTTGCCGAGTTTTATATACCGAGAGATCGAGGGTTGTCATTAATTCCGCGGTGCGGCTTTCTAAAGAATTTCCGAACGCGTATAACACGGCTCGACAATTTCTCCTTGAGCGACGTTGCCACCGATCCCGCGACGTATAGAAGAAGCAAAAAAATCATTTTTTTTTTTTGCGCTGCAACGCGAACGCGAGCGGTTTATAAGTATAAGCGTGTATTATAAGCGTGAGCACGGAGTAAAAGGAAAGAGAGAGAAAAAAAACTGCACACGGCGACGACGGCGGCGGTTGCGCCGCCTCGATGCACTTGACTATCGCATTACGCCGCGAAGAGAGAGAGATTCGAACTCGAACACGTGGGTAATAATGGATTGGATATACACACGCGCGTGTGTGTATAATATGGTGTCTGCGAAGCGGCGTTTACGAAGATCCGTCCTCGTAGCAGAGATATACGATGCTCGCGCAAAATTCCAAATAATAATAAAAGGTCCGACTCAGCTAAGCGCGGCTGTATAACTTCAGTAGCGGTGTCTGGCCGAATTCGTGCCTCATCATCATCGTCGTCGTCATCGTCGTCGCTGAAATATCAGCCGTGCGCGTGCCATACATTTGCGACGAGAGAGTGAGGTTATATCAGGAGCTGCGCTTTTCGGAGTCAATTTTCTGTAAAATTGCTTCTTTCGGAAGCGTTCCTATACTACCTAGATACATAGTATGCGCGAAACTTGTTTGCATTGGAATTCGACAAATGAGCGAGCGAACTCCGTTAGAAAATTGACACGTCGAGAAAACATACGTTTTTTTGTTTTGGCTTTTTTGTTTTATTTTGCGAGCCGTGACCGTAGACGTCATATCGACTCCGAAAAAGCACGTCAGAAAATGTGGAGAGAAATGTTCACCGGTTTGAACGATGAAAAATTGTTACTCCGTTATGAGCGATGGCACAAGACGAGTCGTAAAGATGTATTATTTTTCACAAAAACTTTGGACACTTGTTTACAATGGTGATCGACGGGACAGGCTATTATCGCGAAAACACCAGTTCACTCGCACACTCACACGCAAATCGATAAAGTTGAACAGTTACTTACGCGCGACAATGTGTCTTTAGCGCGTTGCGTTGTCGAAATTATCCGGCGAATATTTAATTCAATACTCGTTCGCTCTTATTCAATCGATTAAAATTTTCAAGTCACAAAGTCGTAAAAAAGGCATTTAAAATATTACGCGCAGTTTTGCTGCTTCCATAAACTCATACACGGTTTGCATGTATGACACTTTTAAAATACTTTTAATAAGTATATATGTTATACAGTGATCGACCGGCTCGGGCTACAGTCTTTCGACAACTGGTTATTGCTCTCTCGTATACATACATGCACGCCGGGACTCGCTCGATCAAAAGCCCGTGTGTTCTCTCGAACGCGTCGACCTTCGGGCCAGTGCGATGTACATAATAAATATACAAACACATGCGCGAGTATGACTTTTCGATGGCGAGAGCGTCGTGTAAGGTACTTGTAATCTCGCTCGCGAATCTATATCGAGAATGCGTAAAAGTACACTCTAAGAAATATACTTTTTTTCGGCTTCGAGCCTGTTTCGCTAGAGAAGGGCACGAACGATTATCGAATCGAATCCGCGATTAATTTCGCGCCCACATCTCCCGTATAAAAGTTAGATAGAATACCATAATCTCCGCTCGATCGCGACAATTCGTCGCTGTCAAATATATAACGCGAACGCCTGTGGTATTACCTACGATACCGCGAGGATACAGGACGCATCGTTTAGTTTTCGGAGTTTCGTAAACTCGACTTTGACACATCTCTCACGCCGAAGCATTCACAATGAGAGCAGCGTTAAAAGGCCCCGAAAGAGAAGCCAAAAATTCGTGCCGCTGCAGTCGCACACGCTCGCTCGTAATGTACAGATATATTCAGTGTGCAGTGGCAGAGGGAATTGCGAAAAGGGGCGACGTCGCTCTCTCTCTCTTTCCATCCAGCGCTGCGATTTCCGGCGTGGCTTGCAGCAGCAGCAGTAGTAGTAAGCAGCAACGGCAGCCGAGCAGCGCTTGAATATGTACGCTCATTTCTTACTACTTGCATACTAAACAAAAGAGCGCGACGACGGCCGCTTATATGCTATACTGCTGCGGCTATCGTGGGCATTGCCACGCTTGTATGCACTCGGGCAGGCCACCGCACTGCACTGCACAGCAGAAAGCAGAAAGAAGGAGGGTTATGAAACACGCGTTGCCTTTTTTTACAACTGCTGCTGCTGCTGCTGCTGCATCTTCTTTTTCTTCTTCTTCTTCTCTCTGAACTGGCCTCTTGCGTAACACCGGCGTATACGTCGACGAAGAAGACTAATTATAAAAGCGGTCAGAAGCAGCAGCCGGTCCTATACAAGCAACGCGATAGGGAGAGAGAGTGAAATAAAAGAGGAGCAAAAAGAAAGGATGCGACGACACGTGACGATGGCCGCCGCTGCCATGGATTCGCCGCGTGCTGCTGCACACGAGCTGCCAAATGCCAAACGAAGTTGACTGCACAGCAGCAGCGAAGCGAACTGCTGCTGCTGCACCGGCCTCGGGGCAGCGTTGAACTTGCAGCTTGCACGTAGACCGAGCGCTATGCTACTGCTTATACTGCTACTGCTGCGGCTGCTGTTGTTACGTCACTCGCTCGACGACGACAAGAGAGAGAGAGAGAGAAGCGAGTTACGTGAAACGACGACGACGAGAAGCGCAATGCACATAGCTCGAACCGCAAGCGGAGAGAAAGATAATGCACGATAGAGAGAAAATCAGCCTAGGCTTTTGCGCGAATCATTCCGTGCGTGCGGCCCTTTAATGCTCGTCCGTCCGTCCGATACGTCTGATGGAGCCATTGAGAGCGCGACGCATACGTACATCTGTCACTTGCTCCTATCTGTGTGTGTGTGTGTCTGTATGTATGTGCTGTCTCTGTATATAGCTGCGCGTTTAGCTGGGTACTTCAGTGTAGGCGTACTCGGTTGTGCGCGTGTGTTCGTACCGTGTACATGTGAAAGAAAGAGAGACGAACCAGTTGTGCATATATACAGATAGATGGAGAAAAAAAGTGCACGGGCACACACGGACGGGCGAGCGAGCGCGCGCGCGCACATTCTGCTAATATACGCGTGTGTGCGCGATGCAACGAGCAAAAAGTCGATCACGAACGGATAGATAGTAGTATAAGCTCGGTGCAATTTTGTTATTTTCCCTTGATATTCACCCGCTCGAGTCGTGCGTGTGCGGTGCATATCGCCTAAGCAGCATAGAGAGAGAGAGTAGTTAGTCGAGTATTATTATTATATACCCTTACACCCACATACATAGAAATAAACACCGATACGAGGCGGGGGGTTGCTGCTGCTGGTGTTACTACTGTAATACTCACTGCCGATGCTGAGGGTCCTCCAGCGTGTCTTGCGCTTGGCGCCCTTCTTGCCCATCGTCCTCCGCGCTTCAGTGGCGGCGCCTCGTCTCGCAGCACTCCGGACTTTGTCGTAGTAGCAGCCACTTTGGCCGTCCTAGCGATGCCACTCGTCGTCGTGATGAAAAAAAACGAAAAAAAAAAAAAAACAACAACCGCGCACGCACTGCCGCTGCTGCTGTTGCCTACCTACTAGCTCTATTACTACCACTACCGACGACGACGACGGCTAGAGCTTCTCTATTCCGCTGCCTGCTTATATCTCGCTAATATAACTAGTAGCGATCGCTGTCCTTCGTTCCGTCTTCGTTGTTCGATTCGCAACTCGTCGTCGCTCGCGTACATCTATCTATCTATATATAACGCACGTAGTATGCATGTGTGTATGCATGCGTGCGGGAGCTTATGAATGCAGCAGCAGCGCAAAATTATGCAGGTGTTATGTCTCTATGCTGCTGCTGCTGCTCATTCTGCAATCGTTTGCCAATGTATATGAGTATAAGTCTCGCGAGTAGTACCACACCTAACCTCGTTTTTTTCGTCTGCAAAATCGAGCCTCGAGCCCTGCGAGAGGGCAGAGCGAAGCAGCGGAGTACAGACACAGAGACAGCGCGTATATGTATATAACGGAGAGAGCTGCGATAAGGTTTGCCGCACCAATACAGACACGAGCGCGCACACGCTATTATCGTGTCGTTCGTCGCTCGAGTTTCGAGTTTCTGCGCTACTGCTGCTACTGCTGCTGCTACTGAACTCGCAGTCGGTTGTATTTTATTTGTCGAGTCTCGCTCGACAGCAGGGCAAAAAGTGCTGATTGTTGTTGTTGGCGAGGCGGCGCATCTGCCTAGGTCTAACTACTCTCATTGTGCTCTGGGACGTATTATAACTACGCCGCCACCATGAGAGAGAGAGAGAGAGAGAGAGAGCAGCCGCCCGCAGCACCGACTACTAGCTGTCTCTGCCTCGTCGGCCTCGTGCTTGAATGTACTACTGTATATGAACGTCGGTCCGAGCTGCAGGGAAGGGCCGGGTGTATACTATGCTCTACATGGCCCGCTGCTGCTGCTCGTTGTATTTCGCACGTTTTTTTGCGCGTTGGCCCGTGCTGCTGCACGTAACTGCACAGTCACACACGAACACGCCGCAACTGCGGCACTCGGACGACGATCCGTCGAGACTGCTCCGAGGCAGCTGCAGAGCACTTAGCGTTACGTACTCGGAGTCGGTTTCACCTGCGACTGCAACTAGCCGCAAGTCGGGAACGAGTGGCCAAACTTTAACTATATGCAATTGTAGCTGCTGATGATGATCCGGCGCGCGACTCCGAACTCGCTTTTCGCGAGGTTTCCGACTGCTGTGCTATACTACTACTGCTGCTGCTGCTGCTACACTGGCTTATAGTCCGCTAGAGTTTTACAACGTTCGGTATATATATATATATATATATATATAAAGTGGAGCTGCAGTGTGAGTGGAGTGCAGGCTGCTGACCGCGCCGCTCGTTTACGCGACCGCGCACCAACTGAGCTCGGCCGAGAGCAGCTCTGCGCCTCCGACCGACCGAGCGCTGCCTGCCGCCTATGTATTAGCACGGTGTCGCTAAAATGCGCGAGTAAGCCTCTGTGTACAACTGTATGCCTGTGTCTGTGTCCTATACTACTGCTGTATATATGCGTAGCAGTCAGCTTGCAGCAAGTGCTGCGCTGCGCTTTCATTCGCGCTGCACCGCACAGACGAGATCAATGCCTCGAACGTACTGTAATACTCATATAGATTGGCTGGACGGCTGGTATTCTCTCTTGCTAAAAGACGACGACGATGACGATGATGATGATGATGATGATGATCCGAGCAACTATTGTACAACGCTTACATTTTATTGCGATTCTCTCGGCAAAACGTGACTCGAATATTTTTCCTGCGAAAAGCCACGAGTCATGCTCGAACCCCTGGCAATTGCAACATATATATATGGGTGATGTTAAGGATCGCGAGGGGCGCGCTCGCGCCCTCTTGCTCGGGTAAACGACGCTCTCGACGATGATCGACGCACGGCCTCGGAGGGAAGTAACGTCGGGTAAAAGATGCGAGCGATTCAGCGGCTCGACTCGATCAGTTACAAAACTTGGAGCTTTCGCGTATCGTGTAAGCTGCGTCTCAGACAGCGAGAGCCGTGTCGCGCCCTGTATGCGGGTCGCTATACATAACGACGTAACAAGGGCCGCGTTTGCAGACCCTAGCTGCGCAAAAGTTTGATCGAATATCGCTGCAGCTTGCTTATATATTCAATTGCAGCTGTATACGAGGCAATGACGCGTATAGGATACCTACCCATTGCCGCCACTCGTCTATAAGCTATATCCATTATAATGGCTCGGCTCGTGCGGCTCATCGCAGAGATTATAGCTGTTGACATTCGGTGCGGGCGCGTGCGCCCTGACGCAACCTTCGAAACCCATCGCCGCAACGATCACTGCGATGCAGCTCGACTGCGTTTTATATGCTATACTATCCTCGCGGCTGTGGGGTTGTCGTTGGCTATATTAATATCGAATTCTCATATGGCGTAGGTTCGATTACGATCGCCGATTGTTCATTGCGTTGTTTCGCGCCTTTGCGTTTTATGCGTCCGACTGCTTTTTGTTTCAAACTCGAAATGATTTACTCACTTGGGCTTCAAACAATTGTCTTGTGGAGTTGAATGAACGACGTCTGCATTTTCACGTCAAGTTTCAGGGATGGATCTTGCTTGGCATTATTATACCACGATGCATGCCATACTCTGATAAAAGCACTTGAAACACAATTTGGAATATACGGTGTATGCACTTCGAGAAACAAAATATTCAAGACGCTAAGAGTTATTTCAGCTAATCTTTGCTCGGGCAGAATTTGGCTCAGTATAAATTCTAACGAAACAAAATTATCGCGTACTCCGCGCGGGCACCTGATCGCAATTGCGTCACATTACGATCGTTAATTGCGTTGACGAACGAAAAATATGAACGTTAATTCGCACGCGTCAACGACTTTTACGACTCAATTATGATTTGATCGTGAGTGACGAACGATAGTTCTATAGAAGGCGAGAAACGATCCCGAGACTTTAGCCCGGCTCGAAACTGCAACCGACGTCGTTCAAAAATTTGCCTCGTTCTTTTCGCCTAGCGACCTCTGCTGGATGTGTGACGAACTGTACTTATCATACAAGCTGCGATCGCACTTTGATGTTTACAGAGGTCGCGTTTTCCGTTGCGATTGTGTGAATTCGAATTTTTTTGGCAGCCGGCAAGACCATGACGTGCGAAGCAAATTATACCGCATGATTTTGTACGCTTATAATATAATTATTATACGTTCCAATTACCGGCTTTTGTTCTTGCGTGCGGGTTATGTCGACACTGCACCCGGTCAACGATCAACAAAGTGTTCTTTGATTCAAAATATCATTTCAGCCTGCTCACGTGAGAATAAAAATTGTTTCTGTGTGTGACCAAATAAGCTATACCGTATAACAAAATAGTCTAACAATGCTGAAAGTACCATCGTTAGCCGACTTCGATTCTCCGGAACTCGATGATTGCATTACTGCCAGTTACTCAGAAAAGGGCCCAATTTATTGCTCAAGAGAAGATTTGCAAGCTCAGAGACATGCTTTCTTCAGAATCTTGCAAGATTTTCCATCTGTCAATATTACTCTTGATATGTTGGCGACTAGAGAGTCTGCCTGTTCCATTGGTGCAAGAGACTTATTTTTACCTGTTCAAGATAGTCCATTTAAAAAAATTATTAGCATTTGGAGAGAAAAAGGGATAGTCGAAGCCATTCGCACTGCTGCAGATGAAAACCCCCAAGATGTTTCTTGGCCCATTCATTGGCTAGCTACAAAGTAATTCCAGCATGCTTGAGAAAAAAAAATAAGTTTTGAAAGTTTGATTTCTTATTCTTGTTTATTTTCAGGATTGTTCATACAATTGATATGATAGAAGCTGGAAGTTTTTGGAGTAGCGTTTTGCCTACTTCTGGATCTGGTTCTGTTGCAGATGTGGCTGCCAACAGTGATTGGACAAATGCTTTGGTAAGCTTATAATTATTATAATGCAATAATCATTTTTCTAATTGTTATTTATATCTTAGATACGTTGCATAGCCTGGCATCCTCATTGCATTCGATTAGCTATTGCCACAAGAGATGATAGAATAAGAATATTATCTACAAGCAATATTGGAACGTCTGCCGTTTTGAGACACAGTTCCCAAAAGTCTGTATGCTGCATGAGCTGGAGACCTCACGCGGGTCGAGAATTAGCAGCAGCTTGTCAGAATGGAGTATTAATTTGGAATATAGAATTAGGTGCTGCAAGTAACACATTAAGTCAGGCTTTCATGCTGAAATACAGAAATCATGCACCTGTCACAAGTGTTTCTTGGAGTCCACAAGTATGATTGAGTCTTTATTTTTCATTAAACTTGACATGAAAATATGCATTGAAATTCTTAAATTTTTAGGGAGATTTACTTGTATCTTGTTCCTTGACTGATATGAATATGATTATTTGGGATGTATCTATGGAAAGCGGTGTCCCATTAAGACGAGTCGGCGGAGGTGGTTTGTGCTTCACTCGTTGGTCGTCTTGTGGCTCCAGATTGTTGGCAACAACTTGTAGAAAAATATTCAGGTATACTGAAATAAATTAAATTTTAAGTTTCAGCACTAAAAGTAACTATTAATAATTAATCAAACAGGGTCTGGAATACTGGAACTGGTGATGCATGGACAGCAGAAAGATGGACAGTTCCGGGAGGAAGAGTTGCAGCTGCATGTTTTGGACCAAATCTAACATTACTTTTCACATCAACAGAAGATCCTGCAACAGTATTTTCGTTACCTCTACAAGAACAAGTATTTGATAGCAAAGTAGTGAGCAGTGATACTAAAGCTGCTGTACCATTAATAGATTTAAGTAAGGTTTCCTTTGCTTCTGAAAATGAGGGAGAAGAAATTTCAGTAGGAGGCAGAGTTGTAGCAATGGATTGGGATCCCAAAGGAAAATATTTAGCAATAATGTTTCAGGTAAATTGTAACTAATATTAGGTGATTAATACATTTTTAATCATTTTTAACCATATATTTTTTACGACTTACAGAATAGTCCGATGATCGCTATATTTAAAACAAAGATTGGTTCAGTTTCACGGATAACTTCAGTAAGCCCTTTGTGCCTTGTAAAAGGTTTTCTTGGCGAGGTTCCAAACTGCATTGAATTTTATCACGATTATCAACAGAAGTCAAATTACACAGTTTTAACTATTGCATGGAGCAGTGGTTTCATACAACATTTTCCAATCTTAGAAAGTCACCAAGAACCACAAACGGAACTTTCAAAAAGTTTAGCCGCGAATACCTTGTCAAATACTTTTACTGTTGTTGATGACCTACAAAAGTCAGTTTACACGAGTTTTATTGGTTAAATGTAAGTTTTTCCAAAAGATTTAAAAAATATTTTTAGCAAACAAGTATGTGTATTATTCTTAGCAGTATCATGACGCGTTTATTACTGTTTATATTGTTTCCTCAACCATGGTAATTGATAAAGCGTTGAGTTTCGAATATCCAATGACGACTGTCGATGCAAATTCTTCAATCATTGCATATCAGTATACAATTTTTTTTAAATAATAGAATTAATATTTTTGTAAGCCTTATTTTATCGTTGTATCGATAATTCGTCGTCTGGTACTAAAAAATGAATAAATATTGGTTGGATTTTGTACATGCAAGTTTGACTTTTTTTAACTCAAAAAATGTTTGTATGCGTTAATGGCCATTGACTTAAGCTATCAATCATTCTTACAACATATAATACTCAAACTTATAAGGATTTAAATGCTTCCAAAAAAGTAATTTTTGATCATGAAAGCTGGTCTGACATATAAAGTACAAAACCATAAAGAGCTTTTACATAGAAGTACTATTAAACAATTTGGTGACTTCAGGAAAAGTAATTCGAATTACTCTGCAGTTTTTTTTAAAACAGAATCAACTTTTATTTAAAGTTCTTATTATAAATCAAGCAGTCCTCTTCATATTAAATTTATAACATACAAATATATACATAAGTTTTAAATTACACGTTATGATTTTGAATAATAACGGTCAATAACATCCAGAATTTCTTTGGGAAGCTTTCGTGGATACTTTTTATGAGTTAGTACCATTTCGGAGATTGCATCGAGTTCATATTCTCCATTGGTATCATAACTTCCGTGATGATCGCAAACAACATGATTATCATCGCAGCCCTGGCATCGAGCAGTGATTGTGCCGTTTTCATAGACCCATTTTTTTATGGTTCTTTGATTGAGCGAGTTACATCTCGGGCACGTGTAGGTCACTTCTAATTGATCGCGGCCATGGTCGTCCTGCTCAGTGCTCAATTTTGTTTCAATCTCCGTACTGTCTAGCACGCTCAGCTCAGCTAACACGATAGACTCTCCTTTGCTGTTTACTTCTTTGAGCTCGACAAATTTCGACGCCTTCCGAGACGTGATCAACACTCTTGGTTCGATAGAGAGCAAAGGAGTTACCAGACTTTTTACACTTTTCACATTTTCTTGCAACTGTGGCAGGGCCGTTCGACGACCTACACTCAATAATCGTCTCACTGCAAACATTTTGATTACCGTTGAAGTAATCTAATTCTTTTGATCAAAGTAACTAAAGAGTAAGAACTTGGTTCCGGTTCTCGCTGAGAATACAGCCTCTTTCAAACGTGAGCACTGAGTACTATCTAAATCAGTTGTAGGCGTTGTAGCTGAATGCACTGACGAAACTGGCGAACGCAGTGCCGTCATCCTAATTTTCCAACTATGCTTACAGCGCAATGCGCATACGCTATACGCTACAGATCGTACAACTGACCCAAGTCCCAACTCTCAGGCGACAGACTACTAGCCAATACAACCAAAGCAAGTCCAATATCCTTACCGTTTAGTTACTTCGATCGAAAGAATTAATTTACTTCAAAGGGGAATCAAAATGTTTATAGTGAGATGATTATTAAGTGTAGGTCTTTGAACGACCTTGCCACAGTTGCAAGAAAATGTGAAAAATCTACAAAGTCTGGTAACTCCTTTTCTCCTCTGTCGATAGAAGCGCGTTGAACAAGTCACGAAAGACGTCGTCATCGATTGGATCGTCATCGGACGGTTTGGAAAATGCGAGAAAGTTAAAGACCAAGCCTGTACTTTGAAAGATTAAAATTGTCCTTCGAGTGCCAAGTGCGTAATTCGGTCAATAAAACAATCGTCACCAAGATAGCCTACGAGAAAGGGGTAATTATTTCTTTATGCAAGGGCTGTAAGCGTAACAATGTCCTCACCGATCATTTTGGATGGTTTCAAGGCAAATAAAGACCCAAAAAGTTATTATCTATGTTCTATATGAAGAATCCACTTAAAGTACTTCGAAAAAAAAGCACGAAAATATACAGCAAGCAACGGATATAATAAAAAACATCTCGAATATCTTCAGAAGTTATCTAATGCCCCTTTTAAAGCCAAAACCTTTTTTTTTTAAGGAAAATAATTTTTTACGATGATTCGGGGCCTTAGAAAATATGGAAAAAACTTTTTTCTATTTTTTTCCACTAAAATAAATAGGCTCGAAAATTTTCAGATTTTTATTAGACAGATCACAGAAGTATAGAGTCAAAAGATCATATTTTTAACAGAAATATGATCGTAGGAATCGGAGCATGGAATAAAAAAATTTTTTGAAACTTTTTTTATGCTTGGTATTTTAAGAAGGAGTAAAAACGTTTTCTTGGGACCTAATGGGGTAAAATCTAGCTACAAGTTAAATGCTTAGGCTTATTTTCAAGCATTGGGAAAGATATAATGAATGTTCACAAAATTCTTGAAAATCAGTTTTTTTTTAAATATTGTTAATTTTTATTACAAGCTCTATTTATAAACCAATTAGTCTTTTTCGTGAACAATTTACAACATAAAAGATATTGCATTACATACTATGGTTCGTAACAACACATGTCAAAAAGTTTTTATACTTCATCTTTTGGTTTTTTTTGCACTTGCCCATGTACAGTTGTTGAGAAGCAGAAATCGAAAATATGCTCCAAAACAGGATTACAGGCTAAAAAAAAAACAAGATACTACTAAAAAAGCGCGCAATTAAAATTCAAAAATTTCGTTGGAAAACAGGCGCCAATCCGAAATCGAAAATTTTGTTAGAGAAGTGGCGCGATCCGAAATCGAAAATTTTGTCTGAGAACTGGCCGAAAACAGAGTATAGATTGGTAAAAATGCCCGCAGAATCCGAATATAGAGTCGGAATTGCAATTTTCAAAAATTCGATTTTCAAAGGTCTGAAAAATGTCCAAAAATGTATCGGAGTTGGCTGAAAACAGCGTATAGATTAGTAAAATTGGCCGCTGAATCCGAATATGCAGTCAAAAAGTCGATTTTCCGAAATCGAAAATTTTGTTAGAGAAGTGGCGCCGATTCGAAATCGAAAATTCTGTCAGAGAAGTGGCGCCGATCCGAAATCGAAAATTCTGTTATAGTTCTGCAACAACTTCCTTCATTCGGATCGTCGTCAACTCCCAGACATCTTCGGCGAGAGATCGGGATCATCGAGCGGGCAACTTCGACGGCAGTGCAACAAGTGGTAAGTTTTTATACTTATATAATATTAACATACATATATTTTATAATTTCTTTTCTTCTTTTTCAGGTGCATGCGGCGAGGACTACAGGGAATCATCGTCAACTTCTTCAACGGCGGCCATCATCGACGGACTAGGACTTCAGCGGCAGCGGCTCATCGAGGACCAAAGACCAAGGATCAACGAGGACTCAGTGGTAAGTACCTCTCTTCTGGAGAGTACATATTATATATATTTCGATATTTATTTTTGTTTTTTGTTGCAGTTGATTCATTCAGTAGCAGCGACAATGAGTCGAAGATCCACCCGGTCGAATCCCGGTGTATTAGTCGGCCAGGAAGATGATACAGATAACATCGTCAAAAGGGCGAGACGTATCTGGGAAATTTGCTTCCCCGACAAGGAGTGGCCGCACTTCATTGTATCCTTGGAGAAGAATATGAGGGGGAACTATGGGATGACCGACTTCATCCAACGGACGGTGAAAATTTCGTCCTATCTGCATGAAAAGTTGGATTCGGAGGTAATGGATTCCACAATTGCACACGAATGTATTCACATGTACTTGTGGTCCATACAATCTCCTGATCCAGCGGCTCATGACGAAATTTTCATGGACGTGGCCGCTCAAGTGGAGGCGAGGACTCCGTACAAAAACCTCCTGACGACCCGCGAGTCCGATCAGTTAATTTGGCCCGCCCGGCCCCAACATGACTGGCAGTGTCGTACCTGCGGTGAGAAGAGGATACTCTTCACCAATCACCATCCTTCTCCAAACTAATGACCACCTTCAACTTTTTCTCCCATCTTTATAAAACCATCCCCAATGATCGACGACAACAACATCATATTTGCATCGTTTGCATGGAATGACAATTATGCCATTTTCAAAGATTTCTTTGGTGACGACAACGTCTTTATAGAGCGTATCACAGTTGCCACACGATTACATTCCGTGAGACCGAGTCTTTTCCTCAATGCGGTTGCATCCCTCAAGCCGCAGCAGCCCTTTTTTCCTCGTCGTCTTTTGTAACTTGACGTCGGGTACGTCGTGACTTGACCGTCGAAGACGCTGTTCGTAAGGCCAGCCTTTGTACACTTTTGACGTTTTCTTGCAACTGTGTCAGGGTCGTTCGAAAACCTATATATATAATAATCATCGTACTGCAAACATTTTGGTTTCGTTTGAAGTAATCTAAATTTTTCGGTTGAAGTATACCTAAGAATTATGGATAACGGACTTGCCCCGATTCTCAATGAGAATTCATACAAACGTAACCTTTTCTCTAACGTAAAGCCTGACAAATCTAACAGTATTAGGGAATATATAGATCAAAGAGAAAGTCCGATCTGAAGAATTTTACTAAATCATGAGCCGTAATTCTATCTCCTATACGAGGCAGACGGCGTTGCGATCGATGTAAGCACGCGTTTAAGGATTAATTATTACGCGGAGACTCTTTCAGTACTACAAGTTTTTATACGTAAAAGTGGCTAGTCCTATATTATAGAAATCGAAATATTTGTTGAAAATATTTATTAATTCAGTCATAAGAAGAATAGGAACATTAGTACTTCCATAATTTTCATTGAAATTAGAATTTCGCGCCGTCGCATACGTTGAAAAATGAAACTTTCAATACGATATATTTCTTCAAAACAATCGCCAATCCATATATTTCGCGATTTTATTTCGAACTTTATCAATTTTCTTTCCAGAGAATATAACTTTCACGAGGATCTTTTAAATGTCAGTTTACACGAGTTTTATCGGTTAGATGGGAGTTTTTTCAAAAGATTTGAAAAATAATTTTAGCAAACAAGTATGTGTATTATTCTTAGCAGTATCATGACTCGTTCATTACTGTTTATGTCATTTTCCCAATCGTGTTGCTTGATAAAACATAAAGTTTTCAATATGCAGTGACGACTGTCGATGCAAATACTTCATCATTGCGTACAAGTGGAGAAACTTTTTCATTAATAGAATTATTATTTTTGCGAGCATTTTTTTATCGTTTTATCGATAATTCGTCGCGATGTATACAAAAAAAAAGAAATAAAAATAAATACTAACTGGATTTCGTACGAGTTTGATTTTTTTTCCTAATACCGAAAAATCTTCGTATGGGCAATCATTGATCTACAAGTCTCGCTGTGCAAAGCTTTTTTCCCAAGCCATAATCGAGGCAATAGACAGTAAAGCTCATATACACACGTATATGTGTAAGCATACAAAATCATATATCATCGCTATTAGCTTTATTAGATGTTAAGGGAGTAGGGAACATGTTGCATTTGAAGTGTATGTATATCAGTCGGTGTGTGTGTATAGATATATATATTTTACAAGCTAATTATACGCATCAAGTCACACGCAGAGTTGGTGTAAACTATTTTCGTGCTCTATACGTGGCTACGCGTAGTTGTTTGACCGAACATTTATTAGTTGACATGTTGACAACGCTCGAGTTCAACTCGATCGCGCTTAGGCTCCTCTCCCCCCTTTAATACGTATAATATCCACGCGGACCTATTTTCACGCCGTATACGACCTTACGACGTTCCCATAATTTTCGAGAAACGAGGAGCTTTCGAGACGTGCTCCCGTCGCGGCCGAGTGCAATAACACGCGATGAGTGTCGTTCACTTGTCGCGCCGCGACGATCCCCGAAGCGCTTTTATATATACATGTGATCACGAACGGAAAGTTCGAAAAGCCCGACGAGTCAAGTGCAGTAAGCGAAATCGAATTTAACTCATTCTTTTTTTTTTAATATTTTTATTTTCCCAATCAGCGCGTGGTTGTTTGAAAGGAAAAAATTAATCGCCGCCGCCGCCTATGTGTTGTGTGCAGCCGGCCGAGTGCAGCGGTCACTCGTCGTCGGTGTATATATGTGTATAATATGTATCGACGATAACTCGAGCCGCGACGACGAATAAACAAATGCAGGAAATTACTGGAAAGAGCGCAAAAATTAGTCAATT